AGAGATCTTCTGCTGTGATCCTTCTTGCTCCCTTTTGCCCAGCTAGCATCTTGTATCATTCCCAAAACTCCTCCAAGCTCCTCTTAGCTCCAAAAGGACCTAAAAACATTCAAAATGCAAAGAAAATGCAAATTATACTCTAAATGCAACCTAAGTCTAAAAAGAGAAGAAAATAGGACAAAAGCAAAGGGAAAACATGCAAAAGAGGACCAAAACATGTACTAAATGCAGCTCTAAATGGTATAAATACAAGGAATATCAAAATCGTAAAAATATGCAATTTTTATAAAATAAACGGTTATAACAAAAAAAATTATCTAATAAAAACTGAAAATATGAACTTTATTTATAGTAGTAAAAAAAATTATAATAAAAAACACAACGATAATTGATATTTATTCAATTTTAAAATATTTTTTTTAAAAATAAAATTAGTAGTTATAAACAAAAGTATAATTAAAATACAAATATTAATAATGGTTATGAAAAAAATATATAATTAAAATACAAAACTTGTATAAGTGTTGTGAGATACCCCCACAATCAGTATCTGATTTTATAATGATTTTTAATAGGATTGTTGAAAAACAACTATATATTCAAATTTCTACTATTTTTATCTATTTATAGTAAACTATTTAAATATGATATTATTATGATAGACAATTATATAAAAAAGGTAAAAATTATTATTAAATGATTTTTATGTGGTTTGAATAATGTAAATAATTTAAAAAGACACAACTTATCTGTGGTGAAAAAATACAACAATTAATAATGAAAAAAACGCAACCATTTATATTAAAAATGTGCAACCACAAGTTTTGAAACCACACAACTTATAATAATACAAATAATCTATCAAAACACAATCCATAAATTATTAGATTCTATTTCATAGAAAAGAATGCTGACATAAATTTTTTTCAAGATTTCATAATTTATTGTAATAATAATTCCACTATAGTAAGAAGATAAAAGTTAGATACACATGATTTATTTTCTGTGGTTTTGGAGCAAGATAAATAGTTTTGAAAAGACACAAATAACAGTTATGATAAAAAAACGCAACCGTTTATAATGAAAAGATGCAATCATTTATAATGAAAAGACGCAACCACAAATTTTGAAACGACACAATTTTCTAAAGTGCAAGTGGCATTTATTCGGATTGTTATTCCTACTTACGACTTGATATATGCTCTCCTATTTAACATTTAAAAAAATGATTGAACCGATATTAATGAAACATTATGATCATAGGGCTTAAAAACAAACTAATACCAAGTTGTGATATTTTATTAAAAAGTTGTGATTTTTATTGTAGAGATTTAATGTTTAATTTGAAAGAATTTGTATATACAAACCACTCTTTAAACACAATATTAACTAGTTAGTACACAGGAATAATAGTCACAACCCTTGTTAGGAAACTCGTTAGGCGCTAATCGGGCGCTCGGTCTGGGATTAGCGATTTTTGTATAAATAGGAAATACATTGGGGATTAATTGGAATTAATTTCTTATAAATATAATATTTTACTAAATAATATTATATATAATAGTATAATAGCGAGTTAAGTGGAAAGATACATGACAATTGTTAAAGCATTACTTAGTAAACCTCAATGTTGCGGGTTCGAGTCACAATCTCTGCTTTTTAACTTTTTATCACTTAATTTAATAGGGGCAAAATTGTAAATAACTTATCATCTTCCTTGTACAAGATTTTATCTCTGCAACCCTAATTTTTCAGCCGCCAGATATTGTTTTCACATACTTTTACTCTTTAAATCTCGTTTTCCAATAAGATTTATCAGAAAATAGTAGATCGAATAGCTATTTTGAACTAAAAACTATGAAAACTTAAACAAACAAAAAAATTCGATTTTTGCTCCGATTTTGGAAAAATACGGCGGAGCTCCACCGCTGAACGGATTTCCAGCGAGTAATCGGTCGCCATGACCGCGTTTTTGAACAGAGGTCACAACAAAGAGAAAAGCTACAAACAACCTTAATTAGCTAATACAGAATTGTCAAATATATATATATATAGATATAATTTTTTATTTAGAATAGAAAACTACAATGATATACAAATATCACAACTAAATTGTATAATTGTTTTGGCGTAGTCCATACAGAAGTTTCTTTCATTGCCGCATAACATTCTTTATAACAATTTAATTAAATTATTTGATGTAAATGCATTTTAAAACTACTCTGAATTTTACAATTCTTTGCAAAAAAAAAACACATATACCATTATAGTAAAAAAGTAAATATCAGATCCAAATAATTTTGGTTTTTGATTTTGAGCAATATAAATAACTTTGAAAAGACACATTAAAAATATACAACTACTAGTATTTTGGCCCGTGCTATGCACAGGCATTGACATTTAACTAATAAAATTATTTATAAAATTTATAAAATAATAATATATAATATATACTTACAGGTTTACAGAATAGCAAAAAAGAAATAATGATTAAAAATATTTATTTTTATCAGTATTCATCAGTTAAAAGAATACTGATGAAAAGGAATAAGGAATAATAATAAAATTAAAATATTTAGTATTTAATATATAAATAATTGATATGTACACAAAATGGTTTACGATCATTATATGAACTGTCTAATTGATAACTGAAAAATCTGAAATAAAAATAAATGTTTAACACTTCAATACAATGTTTTTTTCGAGATTTTTCTGCCAAACTCACAAAAAAAAATATTTTCAATTGAAGAAAATATGAAATTATAGTTAAGAAGTGGATTTAATCTGAATATATAATTCATTTTATCTATTTTGACCTTTTTTATCATACTCTTATAGTTTAACACTTCAAATATATTTCTTTATAAAAATAAATATATAACACTTTGATACTTTTCTGCCGAATCCATAAAAAAACTCAGATGAATTTCAGAAAAAAATAAATTTCATACCAATATCTTTGATCTACAAATCATTTTGAGAATCAGATATGTGGGAATCAATTTCGGCGATGATATTCAAAATTGTCCATCCAAATCGTGATTTGTTATAGGATGAATGTGTTCATCCTTTATCTTTCGTATGCTTTCAATAATACGTGTTGTAAACCGGTATTTGTTGTAAATCGATTATATCTATTCAGTTGGTATAATTTGGGACATTTGCTTATGTAAGCCATTTGGAATTTCGGGAAACATTACCCTAAAATATAATCAATCTTCTCTCTTCCTCTATTATCTTCTTCCTCCTCTGTAACCTAAAATATAATAATGTGCTTATGTAAGCCATGCTTTAATGTAAGCCATGCTACGCATCATATCTTGTTATGTAAATGTGTTTAGAACATCGGTCACCGTTATGTTCCTTTTATGACTTGTATTTTAAATATTTGTGAGTTTTTTTATCTGTATATGAACGAAAAAAGAAGATTATCATGTGCTTGCCAATGAATAAATGATCTAGAACTTATCTGAACAAATAGAACGATGATAAAGACATTTAGAAAAACAAACTCATACATTCGAAATCAAAGTTGTTGGATCTAGCTTATAGTTGTGTATCTCTAGCTTGATTTATTTTTTCTAATTGTAATTTTAAAAACTCAAACATTCAATTTATTACATTTAAAAAAATGATCAACGCTTAATAACAACCAAAAGAAAAAGTAACTGACAATTAATTACAGTGGATTGCTCTTTCTAACTGTTATTCTTGTGTTGAAAATGTTATATTGACTGAAAACGAAACCCACGCCTTGCCATAGTTTCTCACCAACTCTTTCTACACAACATCAAGAGTTATAAGAAAGAATTCTTCTTTAAAAGTAAATTGATGTTGAAATTAAAATCCATACATGCAAATGTCAAAATATACACCTTGATAATATGTGATGCTCCTGTTGGATTTCAAGATCTGAGAATTATATTAGTCTTGTTTTCGTGCTTCATCATCGCAGTCGGCGATCATCGTTTACGTTTCAGATGGAAAAAAATAAAAATAGTCAATTATGCAAACAACGCTAGAATTAGAGATTAAAGACAATTAAAAAATAACAGAGGGAGAAGACACAACTTACCAGGAAAGATTCATCTTTCACTACTAATGAGGACTAAACGATTTTGTGTATATGAACAATTGTTTGATGAGAGAAATTCGTGACTGATTTTCATTTATCACTGGTCCAAATACAAAAAGGTTAGATCTTTTGAGGAAGAAGATCTGGTTTTAAAATATATGAAATCGAGAACGAAGGGGGATCGTGGGTTTGGGTTAGTTACTTGTAATTACACGTGTTATAGAATAACCAAGATGTATCAGTTATTTTGCGTGGATATTTTTAATTAGCATATATTTTAATTAAGTTAATAAAATTATTTTTAAAAATGTGAAAAAAATAGGTGTCAAATGGAGAATTGTCAATTGACTTTTACTTTATAAGTATAAAGATTTAGAATAAAGAAATGCAACCATTTATAGTAAAAAGATGCAACTATTTGTAATAAAAAAATACAACCATAAATTTTGAAAGAACACAATTTTTCAAAGTGCAATTGGCATTTTTTCAGATTGTTATTATATATAGATTCAGATGACAAAAAAAAAGGTAACTCTATACCATTTTACTGTTAACTTTATTTTAAGGAGTATCTTGTAAAACTCATCTTTTTGAAAATTATGAATTCAAATCATTAAAGTTAACGCTTATCCTCATCACATACATGAAACACTGTTCATCATCCTAGAAACTATGAAGATACTAAAATTTCTGAGTGATTTTAGCATATTTAGTTTTTCCTTTCAACACTCTCGTATCGATGCAGATGTAAGATGTTACATTTGTTCACTTGTATTGATATAATAAAAAATGATAACTTTTCATCTAACTTTCAGGGCCTTTTGTAATTGTAAAATTTGATTTTATATGATGACTGTTTTGATAATATTTAAGTGAAAATGCAAGAAAATATCAAAATTCAATTAAAGTATACACCTTCTTAGCCGAATTACCTAACCCGGGAAGCGAAATATCAGTACAGAGAGAGAGAGAGACAAAAGTCTCATCTTGATTGATAGAACTTTCTCTCTTGTCCATACAAAATCTCGTAATCCAATTCCCATCAACATGGAGAAGACTGTGATGTGTAGTCTCGCAGAATCACACCCACGTCGTCTCCACTTCCATGGCTACTCCTTTATCCACCACTCCTCTCTTTTCTCCTTCCGCTATTTCCCCAGCAAGAAACCGCCATTTCTGTTCCAAGATCCGACTCGATTCGAAACATGGCAAGAGTTTCGAATCTAATAGAGTCCAAAAGCTGAATCTATCGAAATTTCGTGAACCCGGTCGACAAAGCAGTAGATTTCTGCAAATGGGTTCACGAGAGATGAGCTTTGGGAGGAGAAAACTCTCAGTTGAAGCCATGGATGGTACTGGAACAGGAACCACATCGACGATTTCCAGTAAAGTAAGTTTAAAGATGAAGACTTTAATGTTGTTTTCTTTGGACTCCTCTCTCCTAAAGATTTGGACTTTCGTTGGTTTTGATGTTTTTTGCATTGCACACCAGGTGTTTGCGACAATGCACTTGTTGGTCTCACTTGGGATCATACTCGCCGCAGACAGTTTCTTGAAGCAGGCGTTTGTAGCAGCGTCCATCAAGTTCCCAAGCGCCTTGTTTGGGATGTTTTGTATATTCTCTGTTCTTATGATATTCGATTCCTTCGTTCCCGCTGCTGCTACAAGTTTGATGAACTTCTTCGAGCCTGCGTTTCTATTCATCCAGAGATGGCTTCCTTTGTTCTACGTTCCTTCCCTTGTTGTTCTCCCTCTCTCCGTCAGAGACATTCCCGCGGCTTCAGGCGTCAAGATTTGCTACATTGTAGGTACTGTATATATAACCTCTTGCTCTTTCATGGCTATTTGATCTGCTCTGTCTTTGATTCGTTTTGGGAATCTGATCCGATGATTGATGTTGTTATCGGAATGGGTTTTGTACAGCCGGTGGATGGTTGGCGTCTCTTTGCGTAGCAGGTTTCACAGCTATTGCAGTGAGAAAAATGGTGAAAACCGAGATGACGGAAGCAGAGCCTATGGCTAAACCTTCTCCGTTTTCAACACTTGAGCTATGGAGTTGGAGCGGAATCTTTGTCGTATCGTTTGTTGGTGCTCTGTTTTACCCTACTTCGTTGGGGACTAGTGCAAGAACTTGTCTCCCTTTCCTTCTTTCTTCAACTGTTCTAGGTTACATTGTGGGTACTGGGTAAGATTCAAAATCACCTCCTTCACTTCAGTTTATCAAGCTTCTCTCTCTCTCTCTCTCTCTCTCTCTCTCTCTCTCTCTATTGATGTCATTCTCTTTCTTTCTTTTTTTTTTTCAAGGTTGCCATCTTCTATCAAGAAAGTTTTCCATCCGATAATCTGCTGCGCGTTATCTGCAGTTCTTGCTGCTCTAGCTTTTGGGTATGCTTCAGGATCTGGACTTGATCCTGTTTTAGGTAAAGTCACACAAACTAGAGGGAAACCTTTTCATTAGAGACCTAAAACAGAAAGTAGAAGCCTTTTTGTTCACTGCTCTTTTAATGGTGACAGGAAACTACCTCACCAAAGTAGCATCGGATCCTGGTGCTGGTGACATATTAATGGGGTTTCTTGGCTCTGTTATTCTCTCTTTCGCTTTCTCCATGTTCAAACAAAGAAAGGTAAAAGAACAAACTAACAAACTTGTTCTGTTTTTGGCTTTAGAAAAAACTGGTAACAACAATCTCTGTCTTCTTCAGCTTGTGAAGAGGCACGCGGCTGAGATCTTCACATCTGTGATCGTTTCAACGGTATTCTCACTCTACTCCACTGCTCTTGTTGGACGTTTAGTCGGTTTAGAACCGTCTTTGACGGTATCGATCCTACCTCGCTGCATCACGGTTGCGTTAGCTCTTAGCATTGTATCACTCTTTGAAGGTATGACAAAATACTATTCTTCTTCTTCTCATTCTTTTACTGAAGACATTAATGAACACATTCCTAACGACTCTCTGGGACATTTTTCAGGGACCAATTCGTCTCTTACAGCAGCTGTAGTCGTTGTGACTGGTCTGATTGGAGCTAACTTTGTACAAGTTGTTCTTGACAAACTGCGTTTACGCGATCCAATCGCTCGAGGAATAGCAACTGCTTCAAGGTGACTCCTCTTTAGAGAATCTTTCACATTTTGCCTCACATCTTAACGTTATTTGATTAGCCATTAGGATCTAAAGATGTATGATTTTTTTTTGTTTTTATGGCCAGTGCTCATGGACTTGGAACAGCAGCTTTGTCGGCTAAGGAGCCAGAGGCTCTTCCCTTCTGTGCAATTGCTTATGCTCTCACCGGAATCTTTGGATCGTTACTGTGCTCTGTTCCTGCCGTCCGGCAGAGTTTGCTGGCGGTCGTCGGCTGAGGATTGGTGACGTGGCGACACACGATTGGTGGCCACAGAAGCCGGCGAGTTAATTACTTAAATATGGGAGCAATTTGGTAAGCTTGTATGATTGTATCAATATGATATAAAGATGCTGGGAAATGCTTATATTCTACACTTTATTTTGTAAATGTTGTGAATTTGTAATGGAAACAAAATATGTAAATTTAAAATTTTCATTTGAGACCAAAATCAAAATCTCAAATTCTCAATTATCAGTCATAGTGATGAGATACTGATAAAAAGCACTAAGATATAAGACAATTACCAAGTTTCCAGCAAAGATTTGATTAGTAGAACTAAAACATGTCAAAAATTTAAAGCAGTTAGCTCTAAGAATTGCAATTAATTATGTAGAGTTGAATCGTTGATGCTGTATTCAAAAGCATGAGAAGCAAAATACTTCAGCAGGCTATGTACTACAAACCAAATGATGTCTATAAAATAATTAACTTTTAGGTAATACAAACCAAAGACGCCTAATTTAATACTCATATAGTAGTAGCATGCAACTGCAAAGTATTCTCTCAACAAACCTCTCTTATTGCCTGATTAGTTGTTGCACGTAACCATAGCTTATAATAATTTAGTACTTTTTAAAATAAAATATTCATCAGATTCCTCCAACAAGAAACTTAAACTTAATCTCTAGACCTAATCGAATGGCAAACCCACCAGCTTATAAGGAGTTATTAATGGTGTTTTGTACTTTGAAGCAAAACACATTTTTTAAAGAAAATATGGCTCAGCATGAGCTTCCTATGAACTTGAGAGAAGACAACCTAAGTGAAGAAACCAAGAAACTGATCTCTTCACTTCCTTCAGACAAAGATTCTCAAGGGAAGCTCTGCAAGTACCAAGGATGTTGGTATTACTACAACACTCTCCAAGCAGTCATCAACTTCCAAGAAAATTTCAAGCCGCAAGGCACCGATATAGTTCTCGCTTCTTTCCCAAAATCCGGCACAACGTGGCTCAAGGCACTCTCGGTCGCACTCTTGGAGAGATCTAAACACGACCATGATGATCCTCTGACACATCCTTTGCTATCCGATAATCCTCACGGCATAGTACCATTCTTCGAGATCGATATGTATCTCAAAAGCTCAACACCGGACCTAACCAAGTTCTCATCATCATCATCATCTCCGAGGCTTTTTGCGACTCACATGCCATTGCACACCGTGAAAGAGGGTCTCAAGGATTCTCCTTGCAAGATTGTGTACTTGTGTAGGAACGCAAAGGACGCTTTGATATCGCGTTGGTACTTTAGGTGCAAGTATCAGAAGAATGAAGTAGCAAGAAGCATTCTCGAGTCAATGTTCGAGTCGTTCTGTACCGGAGTTAGCTTCTACGGTCCCATTTGGGACCATGCTCTCAGCTATTGGAAAGGAAGCTTGGAAAACCCGAAGCACGTCCTTTTCATGAGGTACGAGGAGTTGAAAACGGAGCCTTGGGCTCAGCTCAAGAGGCTTGCTGAGTTCTTGGGTTGTCCTTTCACTACGGAAGAAGAAGATAGTGGAGTGGTTGACAAGATCTTGGAGCTATGCTCTCTTGATAATTTGAGCGGCTTGGAGGTGAATAAAACCGGAAAGACGTGGATGAACGTGGATTACAATAGCTATTTCCGTAAAGGAGAGGTTGGTGACTGGAAGAATTATCTAACTCCGGAAATGGAGAACAAAATCGATATGATCATTGAGGATAAATTGAAAGGTTCCGATTTGAAGTTCTAATGTTTTATATCTGTTGTTGTGTTTCTTTGATGCATTGTTATTAGTGACTATCTTTAAGATTGTTAGCACTTTCTTTTAAGGGTTCGGATTTGAAGTTCTAAAGGTCTTATATCTATGTTTGTAGCTTTAATTTCTCTCGTATGCATTGCAATAAGAATTCCCTCTCTTGTTATTATTAATGCTAACCGGAAATGTATAATTTATTTATTCACTAATTAAGGACTTTAAACCGTGTCAGGTTCGTGTTATGAGTTAACAACAGCAAGAACATTTCATAGTCTTGTATTAGATATTAATAATTTTCATTTTTGGTATGGGCAACTATAACCCGATCATTAGTGGTATTGAAAATATAAACCTTGCATCTTTGAGCAACATCTTCAGCTGCAAGTAGCCCTGGCGTCTGGGCATAGAAACCAGATCCCAAGAATGAACAACCAAATTCAAAGGTATCAAACTGAACTGGAACGATGTAAATATTTGAACTGAATATTTACTCTTAAATCTGAAAAACCGATCCTAAATAGAACCAAACTGAGAATCATATGGATATCTGAAATACCTGAAATATAATTATATGCTAAACATATTTACTTTTGGAATAATCAAAATATCCAATACTGTAATGATAAATCAAATATATTAGATACGAGGATTATGTTCTTTCCAAAACTTACCCCAATTTACTTCAACTCCATTGTTCACATCTACATGTGTTTTCAGAGCATCAGTGACTACTACCTCACTGAACTAGTTTTCCGTTCCACGAAAATTCTCCCAAAACCAGGTTCCTTAAGGCTTTCTAATTAGAGGATTCATATAATCTATTCATTGATTTTGGGTCGTTTTACTATCCACTTTCATAATAATATTGGCTTCATGTAGCCTTATCAGATATGATAGATAATCTGAATCGCCGGAAATGAGTATTACCATATTCACAGTAGGAACTTGCCTGAGATCTTTGGTTTTTTAGCTTCAGCAATCAAACCTTCTATTTTCTCCATTATGTACATGTCCACTAATTGCTTAAGATATGTGTGTGCGTATTGATCATTTCACCACTCTTATAACATTATAAAGATTTTTTGCTCACCCTACTTACAGTTGGAGCTTGCTTGAGATCTTTGGCTTTTTTGACTTCATCGATCAAATCTGAAATGTTTTTCCGTTATCCACATATCGAATAATTGTTTAATATACATGTGAGTGTATTAACCACTTACCGTTTTAGAGTATATAATTTTTTAAAAAAAAATATGAGTTGTTTAATAATTTAAACTAAAATTAAAGTTTAATCAAGATTAATAAAATGCATACACAACTAGTTCACATACGATTTAGACTTTTGCTTAGTAAATGTGTTTATTACATTTTTTTCTTAATTACGTTTATCTTATATTAAATTATATTGAAAGTTAATTTATATTATCAATTAATTTATAACATGATATGTTATTTTTAGAATGCATTCATGTTAATTACTAATTTTAATGTATCTAACTTTATATAATAATAAAATATGTAAATTAAAATAATATTAAAAATATTTTAGATAAATTTCATATCTGAAACCGATCTGAACTCGGACGAAACCGAACCAGATTCGATGCAAATAAAAAAAAATATGTGAAAGAGTCGTATAGCCTAAAATTGAAATATCCATAACTCAAAAATAACTGATCTGAACTCAAAAGTGTATCTGAATGATAGCATCAAAAGGATAAAAGAGTACTCATCACGATCAGCCTTTTGACATGTTTTCCCCTATAATCGTATGTCAAAACCGAAAATGATATAAAAATTAACATTTCACACAGATAAAACAAAACAAAAATTGATTAACTATCATCTTTTTTTTTTTTGTGTGGTCAACATCATCTTATTGTTAAGTCTTACAAACAAATGGTTAAATCCACCAAAATATTGAGAGGGCAAAAACGTAAATAAGAAAAGAGGATGACGAGAAGCTAAAGCTTTCTTAAACTCTCTCTCTTGTCCGATGTTTTTTTCTACTCTCGACCACAGAACCAAAAATGCTACTAATCCCAACTTCTTCTTCTTCTTCTTCTTCTTCGTCTCTGTAAGTGTTCCCCCTTTTCAACATTGAAATTCCCTTTCTTTTAATGATGTTACTTACATACTTTCACTCTTGTTGTAGCCTTCCTCAATCTTCTTCATTCAATTATATTTCCTATTCATCGAATCAGTCTCTGTTCCTCTCCAATCCCGGTTATGCAATTCCCCATGGTACTTTCCTGATTTCAGTTTTTCACTCAATTGCCTCGTCTCCGAAACTCGGATCTTAAGTCTCTTTTACGATTCAGGAAGCAGAAAGTTGAAGACTTTGCGACTCAGGGCGAATTTCTGGGAGTCAATCCGATCTGGGTACTTCAAAAGATTCATACTTTTTCTTTGCCCATATGATTTTAAAGCTACACACCATCGATTGATTGATTGATTGATTCTCTCAGGTTTGTAAAGAATAACAATAATACGACCCAACTTGTGGAACCACCTTCTACAGTCGAAGAAGATGAAGACACGGAACCATTATTGCCTGTGGAGTTTACTTTGGTTGAGAGAACTCTACAAGATGGTTTCATCGAAGAGATCATATTTTCTTCTGGTGGTGAGATTGATGTGTATGATCTTCAAACTCTTTGTGACAAGGTAAGTTTAAAAAACTAGTCTTTTGTTGTTGTGTGGTCTCTTTCTTCTTGTTGTTTACTACTTTTACTTCAAGAAATCTCATTTATGGAACAAATAAATAAAAAAGGTGGGATGGCCTCGAAGACCGTTATCGAAACTAGCTGCAGCTTTGAAGAACAGTTATATGGTAGCTACTTTACATTCTGTCTTGAAGTCAGATTCAGATTCAGAATCAGATTCATCAGGTGCTTCAATTAAGTAACTCTTTATATTAAAGCAAATGTACTGCAAAGAGGATGTTTTGATGAACTTCTTAGCGGATTTTGGAGAAGTTATTTGACACAGTAGGCGATAATGAGCAGCAGCAGCAGCAGCAGAAGCAGAAGAAGAAGCTTATTGGAATGGCACGTGCTACGTCGGATCATGCCTTTAATGCTACAATCTGGGATGTTCTTGTTGATCCTGAATATCAGGTAACCAAATAAAGAGAGAGTTTTTTTGGTTTTGGTTTGATGTTTTCAAGCTGTGAATTGCTTTCTGTTTGATGTTAATTAGTGTTTTTAAAAATGTTTTTCAGGGTCAAGGGCTTGGTAAAGCTCTTGTTGAAAAGCTCGTAAGGGCTCTTCTTCAGAGAGATATTGGTAATATATCTCTCTTTGCAGATAGTCAAGGTAATAAAAAAATATCAAATCACCTCATGCTCTGCAATTTTTGTGATAAACATATTCTTTTTTAGTTGTTGAATTTGTCTTTTTCTCGATGCAGTTGTGGATTTCTATCAGAATTTGGGGTTTGAAGCTGATCCAGAAGGCATCAAAGGCATGTTTTGGTACCCAAAGTAGTAGTCATTGGCGAATTTGCAAGAATAATGGAATTATTATTTGTTTGTATACTTTCTCTGCTTTCTTATAATGGACCTATAAGAAAGTTTTTCAACTGTGCATTTTGTAACTCAGAATTAATCAATGTGTTTATCTGAGATTGAAAGATAAGTATACAACAGGAAGAAACTATGATGCAGTAAAGGATCGATATAGCATTGTATTAACTGAATTGTTATTGCTCTCTCTCTGCTACTAACTTCTCTCTACATTACAGGCTTTTCTTTTTCTTTTTTTTCAATCTCCACACAAATTACAAAAAAAAAAAAAGCAACCAAGACCGTCCATTTTTCGCCATGAAAATCCGCGGGAAAACAACGCATAAAGAAGAAAAGAAAAGAAAGAGAGAAAGAAACTGCGAATGGATATATCGACGGGTTTTTATCTATTTGTGCTTTGTTTTTTTTGTGTTTTTAGGCTTTAGCAGCTTCTGCACGAGCAGTGGCTTTGCTGGCAATGAGCTGCTCGTAGAGATCTCTGATCTTCAATCCAACAATGGTCTGGAATAGACCAGTCCCGTTGTTGCTCCCCGGGAAATCAGCATGTTTGAGCATTTGCTGAGTCACTTCGCCGTAGAATTTGGTCGAGAGGTTGCTCAGATGGCTCTCCACGTAAATCAGCTCGTCCAGTCTATCGAATTGCCCGTCCATCTCCAAAACCGATACCTAAGAGTAAGAAAGAAACAAGAAGAAAGAACAAAGCTAAGAAAACTGAATCATATGAAAAAACGTTACATATATGCAAATGAATATAGCTTGACTATGGATTTTGAAAAATGAAGGGTACCTCATGGTCGAAGTAGGAATCAGGTTCGTAGTTAAACTTGATGCCAGGGTACGAGCAGGTGAGTTTGCGGCCGCAAGGGATCCAAGAGATGGTCGAACCTTCATCGAATAGGTAGACCGGGCTAAAGTATTTAACACCTTCCTTCATTATCAGTCTCACTCTCAACACTTTGCCTTCATTGTCATCTGGAATCAGCTGCGTAGGAAGCACTTCAATGACTGCATCTGCGTACTGCTTTTGCGGGTCTGTATAAGCCATTGATACATTGTTAAGTAAAACAGATCAATGGATGATTTTCGGGGAAATGAAACAAAGAGATCGAATATGAATTGAGTTTTACCAATGAATGCATCGAAATCAGGCTTTCGGGCTTCGATACTTGCTTTGATGCTCTCTAAACTGTGACCTCTCTCAGCCATATCCCTCTGTGATCATCATAACCGTTACAGATTCCGTTGATACAATACAGTTTAGTGAAATGACAATACAGTTTAGTGAAATGTTTATATAAGAAAATTGAATTATTCAAATAAAACGCACCTGGATTTTCCAAGCGAATTTGACTTCATTGCTTATGTCTAAGTAGATACTGAAGTCCAATAAGTCTCTTACCCTCTCATCAAACCTTGGCAACAAGTACATAAAATATGTATTAAATAACCAAAACTGTAGACTTAATTATTCGAATATAATTTAATCATTGTCAAACTATAATGGTTCATGCAAAAGGTTCAACGATCCAATATCTTTATTCTGATACTTATTCTTATATAATACTATCTAGTAATATCCAAGATTCTTAATCATCCAAATTCCGACAAGAAAAGAGACTTCCAAAACTGTCTGAGAGACAAAACAGAGTGTGTGTGTGTGGCTTACATTGGGTGAAGACCTTCGATGACGAGAATCTTGGGAGGCTGAATAAGCTCAGGCGCATCAAGAAGTCCAGTGACGTGATTGTAGATCGGTTTCTCGACGGCGACACCACTCTTGAGAGCTTTGACTTGCTCATACATAAGATCAAAGTCATTGGCGCGTGGGTCCAAAGCGGTGACTCCTTTCTCTTTCCTACCGGTCCGGTCCAAGGAATGGTAGTCGTCGAGACAGATCACAGTGGTCGTGTCGCTGATGAGTGTGTTGGAATCAGGATTCCCGCCTCTCGGTGGCTCAGCGGCGCCGCCGAAGACGCTTGTGAGCCTCCGCATGAAGGTGCTTTTGCCGCATCCGGAATCGGCGGCGAGACCGATCACGATGGTTTGTTGTGCGGCGCAAGTGATGATTGTGTTGAATCTACGGTTGGTTTGGGATTGACGACGGTATAGGAAGACTTGTTTTGAGGAGGAAGAAGAAGGAGAGGAGGTTAAGAAGTGAGTTGAGTTGAGAGCTTGTGTTGAGTAGATTGTTGAGACAGCCATTGTTGTTGTTGTGAGTTTGCTTCCTCTCCTCTTCTTCTCCGCCTAAGCTCTCTGTTTTTGTGTGTTTTGTGAGCAAAGGTTGAGTGATGAGGATTAGGATAGAATGAAAGAAAATATGGGTAACGATTTTTGATTTATGGGTTTTTGTGTGGTGATGTAACGATGTGGTTTTTCTTGAAATAAAAATAAAATGGGGTTTTTTTTGATGGGGAACGAGAGAAATGAGAGGAGGAAAATGGGTGTATAAAATTGTAAAAAAGGGAAAACAGATGGCAATTTGCAAAGAAGAAGAAGATTTTGTTTTGTTGAAGATATGATTTAATGTGGATGTGTATAAATGAGTGGCTCATGTTTTGGATTTCTTCAAAGTAAAAATCTATGTAATGTTGTTAAAGATAAGTTTTTAGTGTGTTAAGATATAATTGTTGATAACATAGAGGAGAGTGTAACATTTCTATCCCCAAAAATCCAAGCAACATATGGATTAGCTTAATCCACTTTGTCTTAATTACTGGATGTGGAAGTCTCGGAGAGAGTGGAATTGCCGATGAAGTGATAAAACTAGAACAGGGCATGGAGTGACACTTGGTGGTTATTTGCTTATTTTTGGGGTTTCCGGATATTTGAATTGACACGTGGGATATTTTAATTGGATAAATGGGGATTAGGTGTTTAAGGTCTGAAGTTGTAGTAGAGTGTATTATATGGGCCCCATTTACACCTCTCGTATATCCTCTTAGCTTCGAATCTTTATGGTCTTTGAACAACTTTACATTTTCTTCATTTATGTTTCTTCCGAAACCGAAATGTCGTTATAACAACAGGTTTGAATAAAAGTCATTAACAAGAGCTGAAACCAACACAATCTTAATACGCATGAATTTGAACATACGTTGTAACCAGATTCTAAGATTCAGACCGAAACGTATCAATAGCAATAAATATGGTTTTGTCTTGATAAGTAAACTTCATCGATAAAAAATCCCAAATGTTCAGAGATAATATTGGTTCGGTATTAAAGGGATTACAGACCATGAAGAACAGAGTAAAAAACCTAAAGAAATGGCTGAACAAAACCACTCACTCTCTATAGTAACTAACGAATTTACCTCAACACAACGCAGCCAATGGTAAAATGGTAATTACATTCATACGAGATACACATATTTTTAAACCTTTTTCTCCAAAGGGAAAATTACCATCATCCTCTCTCCTTCCGTTTTACTTGTTACCCCTAAAGTAGAGGTAAATTTTCTGCAAACACACAACAAGAAACACGATCAATTCAGATTTTTTACAGGTTCGATTAACAAACACTTTGCGGTTAACAGCTGTTGAAGAACCCATGGAAAGTATGAACAGATGCTTACTTGAAGAACCCATAGACTCAGAAGCGACTCCAAACAGAAGAGACCGAAGCCGATAAAGTAGAAGATCTGCATTTATTCAGTAGGGTCAGATTTAGCTTAGCTATCATAAGGTTTTCTTCAAGGTCAACTAAAACATATAATTTCAAAAATATTATAGGCGTCGTGAATATAAAATGGATGTAGACTCGTACCCCGGCTAATAAACTGTCTGAGATGACATCAATTGCTGCAAGCACACCCCTGTTTGATCAAAAAGAGAATGGGAACAATGTTATGTCAAGGCAACAAAGCAGACAGAGGCACGGAAACTTATAAAGCATTACAATATCAAGACTTAGTTTAACAGTTGTGTGGTTTCTCCGTCTGGAAAAGTTTGTACAAGGTTGAAACACAGCTATCATGATCATTCTTTTAGTTATAACTCGATAATTTTAAACCTACTAGAACATTTTAGAACGTTCCAAGTGATAACCTCACCAGACTAACCTACTATACATGAAGCAAAAGAAAGATCGAGTGCAAGAGGAATCGTAAGCTATGGTTGGAAGACTTACGTTAATGATTTTCCGTGGAAAAATATCGGAGGTGCAATGGCAGCAACGATGCAGAAGCCAATGTGAATCTGTGGAGAGCTAAGGTCAATCACATGGAAATTGAAAAGTAATTCTGCTTATAGCTAAGAAATAAGTTAAAAAATCTGACAAGTTTTTATAAACTCACCAAGTAGGTGAAGAAAAACCAACCAAACTTCAAAGCGCTGTCGGTCCTATGAGTTCATAAAAAGTATGTAAATTATATGACATGACGACCTACAATGGTATTATAAAGTTTTAAAACTATGAGAAGAGCTCTAGTTAAAAGGAGTAGTACCTCATGGCTCGGTAGAGAGGCCTGTACCATAGTACGTAAGAGAGTGGGCATCCGATCAAGGCATATATCGTGGCAAGGAAAAAGATTTTAACACCTATCATTAATGTTTTAAAACCAGCATTAGTTCAACCAAATCCAATCAGAACTTCATACAAATAATTACCCTCATAAGATAAAACATTATTGTACAGTGTAGAGCTCACCTCCGCCTTTGATCCAGCAGACCATCGTTGCAATGACATTGAATACCAGGCACAAAACTATCCCTGAAATTTGCAAACTCGAACAGTACGAGAGAATCCCATCAATTCAACGCTCCACTAGATACAATTTCATAGAGAGAGCCAGACAAACGAAACTACCCTTACCTAACCAACTAGCGAAAGCCAAGTACTGCAGCTTTTGAGCATGAACTGGTATCTCATTAGCAATGTCATGGTGTATGATTGGGAAAAACGGTGGCCAGTTTTTATCGTCAACCTGGACACCAGCTGCAACAATATGAATATGGTTAGTTATTATCCACCACAATAGTTACAAAAAGCTAATGAGTAATATCGTCAACAAGTTGTGTCACTTGCTTACATTTACCAATCGCCTCCTCTCTTCGCTTAATATCCTGAGTGAGCAGAATATAAATAGTTATCCAGAAAAAAAAACGTCATTAGCAACAAAAAAAACTACGAAGCACAGTGAACCTATATGCTTGAAGAATTCAAATATCAATGTTACTAACCATTTCTTTCTTCCTAAGCTCTGATTCCCAGTCAGCAAGCTTTCTCTGTTTCTGTGAGGAGTCCTGCACCAAAATGAACATAATTGTAAGAAAAACTTAAAAGTGAGAATAACTTTCATGAGCTTAGTGATATTAATGTCCTTACATTCATCGTATCCAGTGGAATATCAACTGTGGCATCGAGGCTTTGGCCAAATTCAACTGGCCTAGATGCAGCAGGAACCCTTCCACCGCCTTTCTGCAAATTTATTTTATCAAATATCACAACAATCAGTAAAACTATCGAATGTCAAGTAGCAATAACTTCAACATTGAGCTTATCTATCCAAAAACTACACTCAAATGGGACAAAATTACTCGCTAGCACTACTAGATTCTCGGAAAATTGCAACCTAGTTTCCAGATCTAAAGATACAGTTCAGTACAACAAGACTCTACAAACATATTTCCTCTGTAAAATCCGGAAGAACAAATCGGAGATCTATAGCCTCAGCACTGATAAAATCATTTCAAAAAGTAATGAGTCTCGGAGAACAAAGTTGAAATCACCGTTGCACAAACTTAAAAATAAAAAAAACCTCCAGGAGACTGAAAACAAGTGGGAGATCTAGATTCCTCTACCTCCGCAAACGCAGAGAACCTCAAATCGAAATTATATATAAAAAAAAACAAGAAAAAACAGCAGAAATAGAAAGTGGAGATTCAGCGAGGAAGAAGGAGAAAGAGAAAAGCGTTACCGAAAACGGATTGACGATTTCTTCTTCCTCATCGAAAGGGTTGGGATCGTGGTGGCGATTCATCGTTGGTTACGGATCCTAGATTTGCGAAATGAAATTTTATCCGATAAGATCGCCTAGATCCGGCCAAGGTAAGGAAAAGAAGAAGAAAAGATTCCACCGACTGCTTAGGAGATTGACTCCTTTTTCTCTCACTCTCGCATACACACATGCGAAACGCGGGATTTGGAACCGCCAGTATTTACGAAACTACCCTAAGAAGTGTATTGGCCGTTACGGTTATTGGGTCTGACATTCAAGGTAAGGCCCAACTCATTATTTGTTAGTATATATTTTAAAAAACAATTATTATATAATATATAAAAGTTGATGTCATAGTGTATTAAGAGCGTCCACATTAGATTAAAAAACTTGATCTGATTTGTCTACATCAGCATATTCATTAAATAAAAAAAATATTAAGTTAAGTATGATTAGGACGGAAACACTTGATTTAATTGGTCCACATCAACTTTTAAATCAAACCAAAAATTTATAAGTATAATTAAAATATTAACATGTCCAACAAAAAAGTAAATTCAATCTGATTGAAACAAATCACCATATTTATTAAATCAGAAAATGTTAATATGGTTTAAAATTTTAAAAGTTAAATAAAAAATTAACAATGAACAATACATGTATAAAAAAGTATTCATTATCAATTATCAATTTAAAAAAATATATAATAACTCGATTTAACAATTAAAACAATAAAAACTGAATAAAAATATAACATAAAACTCTTGGAAGATATGATGAAAAAAAAAATGATTTTGCATGATCATTACAGCTTCCTAACAAAATTAATGCGAATCAACATGAATCATGTATTATATATGCAGTGGTACACAACATTAATAAGACTTTTAATAAAAAAAACTAAATATTTGAACACATAAACGAAACCTTCAAGAAAAAAAAAACTATATAAAATCTATGGAAAATATTAAATAATACCAAAATATTAGCAATATTATATTTCTCTAAATCAAATGTATATGTACGTCAAATGTGAATAATTCGATAGTTGTCATTGTTATTATTTAACCTAATAGTTTTTTAAAATTTATGAATAAAAATAGGATAAATTACATATTACATATTAAATTCTCTTATATAAATGAAAATTTCTATAAATATATTATATTTTTAATAATTTCAAAGATAGTAACTAAAAAAAATTAAACCAAAATATTAATACAGACTCGCGCGTAGCGCGAATTATATACCTAGTATAATATATAAAAGTTGATGGCATAGTGCATTGAGGACGTCCACATGTGATTAAAAAACTCGATATGATTGGTCCACATCAGCATATTTATTAAATAAAAAATGTTAAGTATGATTAAGATGGAAAAACTTGATTTAATTTGTCCACATCAGCTTTTAAATCAAACCAAAAGTATTAAGTATAATTAAAATATTAAAAGTTAATTTAACAAATTATGTCCAACAAAAAAGTAAATTCAGTCTGATTGATCCAAATCAACATATTTATTAAATCAGAAAATGTTAATATGGTTTAAAATTTTAAAAGTTAAATAAAAAAATTAACAATTAACAATACATGCATAAAAAAAATAACCATTATCAATTATCAATTTAAAAAAAATCTACAACAATTCGATTTAACAATTAAAACAATGAAAACTGAATACAAATATAATATAAAACTCTTGGGAGACATGATGGAGAAGAAAAAATAGTTTTGCATGATCATTACAGCTTCCTAACAAAATTAAATGTGAATCAATATGAATCATGAATTATATATACAGTGGTACACAACATCAATAAGACTTTCAATAAAAAAAAAAAATATTTGAACACATAAACTTTCAAGAAAAAAAATAACTATAGAAATTCTATGGAAAACAGAAAATAATACCAAAATCTTAGCAAGATTATATTTCTCTAAATCAAATGTATATGTACGTCAAAGTTAGATAATTCGATAGGGTGTCATTGTTATTATTTTACTTAATAGTTTTTTAAAATTTATAAATAAAAATAGGATAAATTACACATTATATATTAAATTCTCTTATATAAATACAAATTTATATATATATAATTTTTAATAATTTTAAAGATAGTAGCTAAAAAAAATAAACTAAAATATTAATACAGACTCGCGCGTAGCACGAGTTATATACCTAAATCTACTTAATAAATAAACATATGACCTGTACATATTCTATTATATATATTTGTATACGTTAAATTTGCTAATTTACATAATACTAACATATATAATTGTTAACTTTAAATTTTAACATGTGTCATGATTATAATATATTAATTAAAAAATAATTTTATCATAAAAATGAAAATGAAAATAAAACATATTTTTATTTCAAAAACAAAAATAACATTCATCCCAAAACATGTCAAAACTAGAATGATTAACTTATACATATTGTGATCATGTTAATTACTAACTTTAAAATATTTAATTTAAAATAATAAAAAAGCGATCTATCATATATAGAGTATAGAGATTACTTGATGATCAATATTTCATTGCGTTCTTCCTTTAAATTGAAAATGTGATTAATTTGAGTCAGTCAATTGAAAGAAGATTATTATTTTTCTTACAAAACTAAGACATTTCATGAAGGCCAAATCAAAGGAAAGAATAATACTATTGGTCTTGACTTGAGATCCTATCTAAGGAGGATTACACGTGGTGGAGATGAAACTCCAATAAAGAAACATGGGCTCATCCCTCAATCTGTCAACATACTCACGAGTGATCAATGCACTGCATGCAAACTCTTGGAAAAACTCAGTGTCTGTCTCTCAACATACTCACGGCTTTGAAGTTTCATCCTCAATTCCTCATCATGGTTCAATCGGTGTCGTCCACAGCAATGTCATCGTACTTGACAAGAATGTCCAGTATGGTGAGCATGTTCAGTACGCATTTCTTCCAGACATCGACAGGCATGTGTAAACGTTCTTCCAGTCCAAACGTTCTTCTAGACAGCACGCATTTCTTCCAGTCCAAACGTTCATTACAAACGCTAATTACAAACGGTAGTTGTAAATGCCGGTGACAAATGCTGTTTTTAAATAATTTTTGTTTTATAATTTTTTCAAAATTTATTGTATATTTTAAAAAAATTTAAAATCATAATATATTTTTAAAATTTTAATTTTTAATAAATTAATAAATTATATATAATAGTAGTTTTGTAGATTAAATAAAATAACAAGTTTTTCAAGTTTTTTATATGTCTTTTTAAGCCAACACGCAACAAAAATGTATTAGTAATATCCTTATATTTCAAAAAAAATCTAGGTAATTTCTCATATATATATATATATATATATATATATTAGAAGCTGACATTTGTATTGGGTTCATTGGAACTGACTGTTACAGAGGTTGCCCACTTATCCACCTTTGAAACATCATGAAGCTCTCTTCTGGTTTATACTCTGCGGTATGTCCTCCTTCCTGCAAAATGTAACCAATTATAAAAACCTTTCTCAATTGTAAAAAGTAATGACGATAAGATTATAAAGAAAACATCTGATGAGATCCCAGAGTAATAAGGAACTTGCTTTAATAGTAGCAAATGTCATATTGTTGGCGTAAGTCCTTGTGTATCCAACAACTTGGTTGTTAACAAACCATGGTCTCCATTGGTCAATGATTGAATAGTTTAGAGATCTAATCCAAGCTTGTGTTCCAAGAAAAGGCGCAAACATGTCATGATCACCACTATAAATCAATGACCTATAAAGCCCTTTGATGCTATTGTTTCTATGATAGGGTACACTGTTCTTTATATCTTTCTCATAAGCCAAATCCAAATCGCATCTCACCCATTTCTCTATATTTCCCTGCAAATTTCACATTCTTTTTAGATTAATTAATCATTTGCTTTAAATAATGACATACTTTTGTATGTAACTGTGTCATACTTTCACCACATGAAGTGCTCTGCCTACATCTTTATCATTTGCCCAATTTGTAGCTAGCAAATACTGATACGTCTGCATATATTCATCTCAATGTTTTAGCAATTAGGATTACTTCAATAGATTGGAAGAGGATGATCTGAGTGAACAAGTTCCCTAATATATCTTCTTCCAATATGCTCTTTTGAAAACGGATTTGGCGATGCCAATTCACACTTTGGTATCAAAATCAATGGGAAATTTAACCTTGAAATACACTGGATCATCAACTAAAACCACAAAGTCCCAAGTTAGTCTTCACTATTCACAATTTCTAATTAAACTTGTGTTCAACTTTTACCTTATCGTATTCTTCCACCAATTTCAAGCATTGTGTATTACTAGGATCTACTTTTACATAATTTCCTTCGCAGCTTATCTTAAGCGACTGCAAACAAGAGTTTCATGAAACCATTTCAATAACAGAAAAAAATACTTACACTTTGATAGAGAAGAGACTTAGATAAGACTTCAATATACCTCAAAGAGTTCGTCAGAGATCAGTCCCATTCCATGAGCATATGGAATCCTATGGTTACAATCACTATCAAAATCTGTTTGCGGGTTCCCAAGAACATAACCCTGTTGGTATAAATGAAATTCAAACAAGCTATATATATGACGCAGTCGGAATCACTAAGGTCAGCAAACATTAAACCTTAGAAATAATTCAAGTTCTCAAACAAAAACTTGAAAAGAAAACTCTGGATTCTACCAGAAAAGGTTAAAAGCTTTAAAACTTTTATTGAAAGATAATAATAAGATTTGTCTAAAAAAGATTACCTAAAGCCTCTTATATAGAGAGAGTATAGAACATAGAATAGAAAATTCTAGTAAAACCCTATAGAAAAAGGAAAACACCAAATAAAAGGATAGAAAAAGGAAAACACCAAATAAAAGGAAAACTTCTAGAAACAATAGATTAGGTGGTCTATGATTCTCCTACATCAGTCTCCTCCACCTCCAAAGAACTCGACCCCGAGTTCTCTTCTAGATAAAGAACACTATCAGCATGGTACTCATAGATATCAGCCACATTGAATGTATTAGAAATGTTCATGTCTTTTGGAAGTGCCACCACATAAGCATTATCATTTATCTTCCACAAAATCTTGAAATGACCATATTTACGAGGCTGAAGCTTGCGATATGTACCAACTGGAAATCTTTCTTTTCGTAGAAACACCATCACTTCATCTCCTTCTTTAAAAACCTTGAGTCTCCTACGCTTGTCTCATGCATCCTTATTCTTTTGACCAGTTGCTTCTAATTTAGCTCGGACAACTTTTTTAGTGGCTAAAATCTCTTCTGCCATAGCCTCAGCTGAAACACTAACTCCAGGAGCTTTAGGCAACTTAACCAAATCGACCACATGCTTCGGAATAGAAGTTTAGACCAAAGAAAAAGGCGAACTCCCTGTAGCGGAATGCACGGCACTGTTGTAAGCAAACTCCACTTGTGGTAAAGCTAGATCCCATTGTTTCGGTTTATCTCCACATACACTTCGAATCATATTCTCCAAAGTTCTGTTTGTTACCTCGGTTTGCCCATCAGTCTGTGGGTGAGCTGTAGAACTACGTTTCAAGCTGGTTCTAAACATTCTCCAAAGTGTAATCCAAAAATGACTGAGAAACTTGGTATTTCTGTCTAAAATTATTGTCTTAGGAACCCCATGAAGGCGTACTACTTCCCGAAAAAACAACTTGGCGATGTTAGAGGCATCTGCGGTCTTCTTGCAGGCGATGAAATGTGTCATCTTAGAGAACCTGTCAACGACCACAAACACAGAATCGACTCCTCGCTGTGTACGAAGCAAGCCTAGTACAAAATCCATGGACAAGTCTTGCCAGATATCCTCTGGGATCGGTAATGGCATATAAAGACCAGTGTTCTGAGATTGTCTTTTAGAAACCTGACAGACATAACACCTTTTAACTATAGCACCCGCATCTCTCCTTAAATGCGTCCAATAAAATCTTGCCTCCAAGCTAGCAATGGTCTTGTATCTTCCCAAATGACCACTAAGACCGCCACCATGCAAGTCTCGAATCAACTTTTCTCGTAATGACGAGCAAGGAATGCACAGCCTGTCTCCTTTAAAAAGATAACCATCTCGTATGTGGAAATCTGCTGAAGGGTGCTTCCCATTACATTTGACCCATAATTCCTCGAATTCAGCATCACGTTCATACAACTCCTTCAAAAACTCGAAGCCCACAACCTCTTGTTCTAAGATAGAGAGTAAGGAAGCTCTTCTACTCAAGGCGTCTGCCACCTTGTTAAGTGTCCCAGACTTATGCTGAATAATGAAAGGAAACTTTTGCAGAAAACTTACCCAACGAGCATGCATCTTATTTGTCACTTTCTGGCTGTGAAGATACTTTAGAGCTTGGTGGTCCGTAAATAGAACGAACTCTCTCTGAATTAAGTAATGCTCCCATTGTCGTAGAGCTCGAAAGACCGCATAGAACTCTTGATCATACGTACTCTACTTTTGGCGAGCTTCGCTTAACTTTTCACTAAAGAAAGCTATCGGTCGTTTCTCTTGCGATAAGACAGCACCTATTCCCACACCACTAGCGTCACATTCCACTTGACACTTTGTCAAAATTGGTTAATGCTAATACTGGTGCAGTACAAAGCTTCTCTTTGATTAAAGCAAAGCTCTCTTCTTGTTCGGGTCCCCAATGAAACTTCCCTTTCTTCAAACACTCAGTGATAGGTGCAGTAATGGTACTAAAATCTCTAACAAATCTCCTGTAGAAAGTAGCTAGACCATGAAAGCTGCGTACCTCAGTGACCGACTTAGGAGTAGGCCAATCCCTTATGGCACTTACTTTGTCCTCGTCAACCCGAATCCCTTCTTCACCAACAACGAATCCGAGAAATAACAGCTTGTTGGTGCTGAACGTACATTTTTAAGATTGATGTAGAGTTGTTTTTCTTGTAAAACCTGCAAAACCTGCTTCAGATGTTCTAAATGCTCGTCTCTGGTTTTACTGTATATCAAAATATCATCAAAGTAAACCACCACAAAAGAACCAATGAAAGGGCGGAGAATCTGGTTCATTAATCTCATGAAAGTGCTAGGAGCATTTGACAACCCGAAAGGCATCACCATCCATTCGTATAATCCATCTTTACTCTTAAAAGCAGTCTTCCACTCATATCCAGGCCTGATTCGAATTTGATGATAACCACTCCGAAGATCTATCTTCGAAAACACATTAGAACCTGACAACTCATCAAGCATATCTTCCAACCGAGGGATAGGGAATCGATACTTAATGGTTATCTTGTTAATGGCTCGACTATTAACACACATCCGCCACTGGTTACCCTTCTTAGGAACTAGAAGGACCGGTACGGCACATGGACTCATGCTCTCACGAATAAATCCTTTTCTCAGCAAATCTTCAATCTGTTCTCTTAAAATCTCGTTCTCCTTGGGGCTCATACGGTAGTGAGGAAGATTCGGTAGACTAGATCCTGGAAATCAAGTCAATATGGTGCTGAATATCTCTCATGGGCGGTAGATCATTAGGCAGTTCTTCCGCAATCAGCTCTTTGAAATTGTCCAGAATTTCTAACACTTCACGTGGAGTTGACGTTTCCTCCGTTACAGCGCTCAACAGCCCTTTAACCACCAAAGGATAGAAACACTTTGCTTCTTTAACATCCCCATCAAGCTCTTTGTCGTCCTGTGTTATAACCAAAAAGCTCGACTTCTTTTCCTTCACACTGTTACAAAAATCCTTAAGAGGCGCCATGGCAATTTTATGATTGCCCCACGTAAACATTATCACATTGTCTCGACCTCGATATGTGATATCGTTATCATACTGCCAAGGTCGTCCAAGAAGAATGTGACAAACATCCTTGTCAAGAACGTCACAAGTGATCTCTTCATTGTAGTGTCTACCTATAGATATGAGAACCTTGCAAGTCATGCTAACTCGAACTTTCGATCCTCTCTTTACCCAACCAAGGCCATACGGTTTCTCATGACGAGTCGTAGGTAGCTTCAGATACTCCACCAGCTTTTGAGAAACTAAATTCTCCGAGCTTCCATTATCCACAATCACATTACACACCTTGTTTTGAATAGAATAATGTGTTCTAAACAAAGTTTTGCAATCATTGACTCAAACTCATTGTCGAAATTCTTACGCTGGCCTTCTTCTTTAGATGACAACAAGACTCGTTGCAGCACAAGGTTTATCATCTCTTCAGATTCCTCTTCAGCGAATTCAGCTCCCTCATATTCTTCATTCTCAGCGTAATCCCTTTCATCATCTTTGCCTTCTTCTTCTATTATAGCGACTGTTCTCCGACTTGGACAGACATTTGATTTATGACCATGTCCTTGGCAACGGAAACACTTGTCAAGGGAAGGCTTATCATAAGAACGGTTCTGTTTCTGAGCTTGTGTTTTGTTCTGTTGTGTAGTATTAGAGCTACTAGCCCCTTTGTTTCCTGGATTGGAGTCTCTATTGGCTACGCTCTTTTCTTTCTCACTCGTTGGTTCAAAACTGGTCTGAGCCGTGTTTCTCCTGAATGTTGAGAACCCTCGTGATGACTTCTCCATTAACTCGGCTTTCAACGCTAGACTAGAAGCTTCTTGCACGGTCCATACGATTTGCAAACCCATCTTTCCCTGAAGAGAACCCTTCAAACCGCTGATGTACCTAGCCACCTTCTGATTCTCTGTCTCCCCTAACTCATTGCGTTCAGAGAAACACAAGAATTCAGCTGTGTATTCAGTTATAGTTCTGTTTCCTTGTATGCAATCGAGGTACATCTTGTAGAGAATCTGTTCGTAGTCTTCTGGTAAGAATTGCTCCAGCATTAATTGCTTCATTCGGCGCCAAGTCTTAACAGGTCTTTTCTTTTGTCTTTGCCTTTGGACGACCAGCTTATCCCACCACACAGCAGCAGTCTTCTTCAGTCTGATTGCTACCATCTTCACTTGTTTATTCTCCGAGATTCCCATGACGTCGAAGAATCGATCAACATCGATTTGCCAATCAAGAAATTCCTCCACTCCTATAGTTCCATAGAACATTGGAATATCAGCCTTTACTCGATAATCGTGATTGTTTTGTTGGTTTTCTTCAGCTATTTCTTCTTCAGCTTCCTCTTCTGAACTGGAATTATCAACAATAGCCTCACGATTATTCTTGCCTTGAAGAACCCTATTTCCGGCAACAACATCTCGATTTTTTCTTCCTTGTTGAACCCGTACTGGTTCCCTTCCCCTATCTCTTTGCCCAGCATTATTAATCTGGTTGGGTAATGCCACAACCTGATTAGTTAATGTGGTCAGCAAATTTGTTAGGTTTTCAATAGCTGCCGTTAAACCCTCCAAATCTGCTCTGGTCACTGGTTGATCACCCATCGCTAATCAAGTTTCAAAAAGAGAAGGAGAAAGCCTTGCTCTGATACCACTTGACGCAGTCGGAATCACTAAGGTCAGCAAACACTAAACCTTAGAAATAATTCAAGTTCTCAAACAAGAACTTGAAAAGAAAACTCTGGATTCCACCAGAAAAGATTAAAAGCTTTGAAACTTTTATTGAAAGATAATAATAAGATTGTGTCTAAAACAGAATACCTAAAACCTCTTATATAGAGAGAGCATAGAACATAGAATAGGAACTTCTAATAAAACCCTATAGAAAAAGGAAAACACCAAATAAAAGGATAGAAAAAAGAAAACACCAAATAAAAGGAAAACTTCTAGAAACAATAGATTAGGTTGTCTATGATTCTCTTACATCAATATATATATAGGTTAACCTTAACAGAAAAACATATGAGTGAACATATTGATGAACCTTAAGATTGATTAGACATTTGTAGCAATGTTTATTTCCTTCATAACGGTAACGTGTAAGACTATAATAAGCTAATCGCAGAGAAAATAGTTATTTGGGGGATTAATTATAATGACAAAGAGAAAACAAACCTATTGAGATCTGTTAAACAATAGTTGGAACAACTATACCGGAATAAGAATCTCCACCGACATAAAGAGGATTTGAAACATACTCTGGATGATCCACAAGCCACTGCAAGAACAGCAACAATCGAAAAGGATTTTTATATTTAATCTCAAGTCTCCACAAAACACTCAGAAAAGGGTTCAAGAAATCAAAGACCTTTTGAAGAAATTTGTAAGTCTGTTTTACTTCTCCTGTATCACTAGGCTTATCAGCAAGAGGAGTTGTTGAGTAGGAGAAGCCAGTTCCAACAGGTTGATCCAAGAGTATTATGCTAGCTACCTGAAATATCATCAAATCAACAAAATCTTGAAACCGACAAAACCGCCAAGAAAGGAATGAAAAAGAAACACAAGCCTATAGCTAGTTTGTGATAGGTACTGTATAAAGGAGAGTGACCTTTATCCAAGAATATGAGGTGGAAACAAGAGAAGGCAAACCTCCATTGTTACCATCAGAAAGTTAAAGGTCCTGCAAAAACATGATTATATTTAGGAAATCGATTAAAGGTAAAATGACTTTCATTTTTTATCTTGCTTGAAACTACTGATTCCAAAAGCAAGGGCAGAGAGAGAAGAGCATGCAGGTCCTCCAGATAACCAAATTAGAAGAGGATCTTCTTCAGGATTGTTCTCTGATTTGATGAAGTAGTAGAAAAGCTGAAATTTCTCTCCCTCACCAACACCAATGTATCTTTCATTAGAAAGAATGCAAAGATCCAAAATCATTCAGCATTATCGAAAGTCACGAATCTTGAAAAGTAGAGGAAGAGGAAACTGACCCAGTTTCAAGGTGGAAAGGAAGAAGACTTTCGTAACCAGGAAGATAGCTAATCACAAAGGCTTAAGAGTTAAGACTGTTGCCTTTTTTTAGGCATTGCTCTGACCATATTGGAATAACTTGGGAAGTAAGATAGACATATTTTACGGATCAACTTATTTTCCTCTACAACATACATAACTACAAACCCATTTTAATCGATTAGATGTAACAAGAACACTCGTCCACCACCATATCAAGAGTTTATTGAAAAGAAACAACATAACCAAAATATACATGTAAAATTTTATTCACATTTTTTAAGCTCTCGTTTCTTGCCAAGTCATCATCTATGTAAGTTCATATGTTGCTCAATTGATGGTTCCATTTCTAGAATTTGAAGATATTCACAGTCTTTTTGGACATGAGGACACCCAAACAACACATTCCAATAGCCTGCATGAGTTTTCACCAAACTCCTACGTATGTTTTTGGATATGTTTATCGTTTGAAGTTATTGACCAAAATTGCCTAACCTTGATGTGCAAGCATTCCAAACACTGAGACCTGCAGCGTTGGAGAGTAATAACAACTATAGAAAAAGTTAAAGTCTCCATTGTATACATGAAGAGCCATTGAGCCTCAGTTGTTTGAACAGAACTTGCTCATAAATTTATAGTCTCCAATTTGTTGATTTTAAGGTGTAAGTCTGGCTTCTTCTTTTTTTTCCGGCTTGTTATTGGGTCTAAGGCATGTAAACACTAAAGGTAGAGTCTGTCTTATGTTCCTATGTAATCTGCGTTTAATTTGGAAACATATCAAAAAATTTAGAGTCTCTTTAGAGATGATATTCTATAACGACAATGATGCATATGAGTTACTCCTATCATTTATAAAGAAGTGGTGCCAAATCATTTTAAAAAACCTAAATATGTTCTTTAGAGGTATCCATATGCCCTGCATTCCCTAGAGTCCATTCCAATGCTCCAGTTAGCATACTCAACAATCAACAACAGAGTTATAAGCATTGCTTCCCAATGTAAGAAATATTTAAACACAGTGTCTCTGTCAATCACCCAAATTCTCACCATAGAAGAGTCAACTGATGTAAGTTCTTTATTTCATTTAATGATACTGATTTCTTAACAATTTAATTATTTCTTTCTAGAAGTTTTGGTGATGGTTGATTTAACATGTTTTAGATCTTCGTGTTATGCAGATGGAAATAATTTTCAAATTGGGTGATACTAAAGACACAGTCTACTTGGAAGACAAACCGTATGCAAATCTGAAGGAACTTACAGATAGTTATTCTTACAGATGGTTATTCTTACAGATGGTTACAACATGATCTTTGACAATTGGAAAAACAAATCAGTCGATCTTGTTGATGTCATAGAAGCAATTGGTCTCAACTCATTTCAGTATCCTAATCAGAGACATTTAGAGCATCTACTTCAGGTGTGGGGACAAACATACTATCTCCTTTAGGGAAGACGGTTATTGTAACACCCCGACCCGGCCATCCTTGGCTGCAGTACGAGTGTTCCATGTTCAGGCCGCATTCCCCGGCTGAACCTCCCTTCTAAATCCTTTACTTAGCAAAATCTCCTCTATGAGGTTTGATTGCTTAGACTATCTTATGCAGTGGAAATCCCTTAGTATTTAAAACTATACTTTCCCTTGGTTTTAGCTTAACCAAGCACTTGCCGGACTGATGATCTCTTGCTTTCGGTAGTCCACTTGACCACCGTTCAGCTCCGAGATCGATCCTTGACTCGGTGCAAGCTAAACATATGCATCAACCATTCCATTCCCCTAGACCATTCTACTTAGAACTAGGCTAGTGATTATCCAGGTAGTAACATTCCAGCTACAGTCTTAACTAATTCATACCTTAGCCATATCTATGAGGTGTAGCTGCACCTTGACTAGCTCCTTTGTCACTCCAGTCAGCTGAGCTCAGGTGGACTCAGCAGATCATGCTCATGGTTGTACAATCAGCTCCCTTAGCTTATACACCATCTCTGATCCTTCCTTAGTCATTCAACCAACCATCCCCACATGACTAGGTTAGATCAGAGAGGCTATTCAGCCCTATGGCTCGACTAGGGTCGTTCCTTAGGATCGCCCGTTCGTCCATGTCCTTCCCTTTACGGCCTAGTCCAACCGTACCCTTGTTCTCCTTATAAATTCATGATCTCTCTCGATCATAGTCATGTTTCTCTCGACCGTAGTCAGAGTTCCTGGCTAACGCATGACTAGAATCTTGAGAAATGATCCAACCCGGATCATTTCATCCGACCATTCATCCTACCGTCACGACCATTCGCCAACGGTCGTGACCATTCACGGGATACTTCACCAGTATCGTGTGACCGTGGTCAATCCTCCAATACGGCTCCCCGATTCCATCGATGTTCTGCTGGAATCCTTTCCACGTGCCTACTCATGATTTCTCACGGTCCTAGACACGTTCTCTCGGATATAATACTGCTTCTCTCGGTAATAGCCACGCTTCACCCGATCGTGGTCAGGGACATTCAGCTATCTCCCGATCGTAATCTGTTTCATCCGACCATCCTCGAGAGATCTCACGACCCTCGGTAAGAATCCCTCGGCAAACCGATTACCCCGGATAATCTCTCGGATGAAACTCTTCCCTTCGGCCGTTCTCTAGGCACGATATGATTTCCCTCGGCTATCCTCTCGGTATAACCGTCTTCTCTCGGTGATAGTCACAGTATAACCGTTTCTCTCGATCATAGTCACGATCCGATCCTCGGATCTCTCCCGTGTCCCGACTATCACCGCGAGTCTACCTGGTAATCTTCTTCCCTCCTGTATGTCTCTCCTTGCTCTCAGACGAACATCCATCGCCTGGACTTTTTCTCGGATATGGTTAGCATATAACCGTTTCTCACGGTGATAGTCACGAAGACACGAACCGATCCGGCGAACCCACGCATCATCCGGCTATCACCGCGAGACTGTCGGCTAATCCACTCCTCTGCCGGATATTCCTCATTTCTCTCAGGCGAACATCCATCGCTCGGAGTTAATCTCGGATGTAGTCACGGCTTAACCGTTTCTCTCGGATATAGTTACGAACCAACCATCCGATCATTCGCATCACCCGACTATATCCGCGAGACATCGGACTACCATTGTGATGCTTCCGGCTATTCTTGTCCCTTGTCGGATATCTCACATTTATCTCGGATATGGTAACGGTATAACCGCTTCTCTCGGATGTGGTCACAGATCGAACTGTCGATCCTGCACATCATCCGACTACCATCGAGAGACACCCGACCGTTCTTCTTTATCCCTCGGATAATTTGCCTTTCTCTCGGCTAAGTTTCCATTCCCTCGGATAATTCCCCTTATCCTGATATTCTCTCGGATATGGTCACGGTAATAACCGCTTCTCTCGGATATAGTCACGAATTGATCCACTGATCATTGGCATCCCCTGACTATCATCGCGAGACGCCGACCATTCATCTTCATCCCTCGGATAACTTGCATTTCTCTCGGTTAAGTTTCCTTTATCCTGATCATCTCTTGGCGATTCCCTTTTTATCCCGATCATCTCTCGGATACTCTGTATCTCCCGAATGATCTCCAATTTCTCTCGGTTAATTTCCTTTTCTCCCGGATGATGCCGGAATTCTCTCGGACATGGTTGTAACACTCCGGCGATGACTCGACTGGAAGGGCATCCCTGCTTCTCCCTGACCATCTCTGATTCTCTCGGATTATCCCTATTTTCTCTCTGATAAATCTCCTTTATCCCAGATAATACTGAACTTCTCTCGGTTATGGTCGGAGCACTCTGGCGCCGACTGGACTGGAATCCGGATATCACATTTTCTCTCGGCTATCTTGGAGATAAATCGCCTTAGACGTGAGAGATGTTATTTTCCACGAAAATACATCTCTTTTATAGCCTTTGGGCGGTTTCCTTTTGCCCAAATCCGTCCATCCTTCATACCCCAATCTCAGCCATTGATTCTTTCAATAGTCAGGACTGCACCCTTTGGATCACGGGCAGTTACTTGGCCATAACCACTTTTGGCCGAGCTCCACCACCCACAACTGACTTAATACTGCCTCAGTCACACCTTTGCTCGGTACCTAGCTGGTCAGTCCGCCCAGCTGGTTTAGTACTCGATCAGCTGGCTGAGCTAGGTTGAGCTGCCGGTCAGCTAGTCCAGCTAGTTCAGCTAGTAGTCAGCTGGTTCAGCTAATAGTCAGCTGGCCCAGCTAGTAGTGAGCTACTTCAGCTCGTTCAGCTCGACTGTTCCTGCTAGCTCGACTATACAGACTCATCCATTTTGTCCGACTAAGTCTTTCAGACTTGTTTCTCGATCTTGCCTAAGTCGTTTCCTTATCCTTTTCCTCGATACAAACCAGCCCACTATCCCGAGCAGGTTCTGGGCCGTTACAGTTATAGTGAAATTCAACATTTACATCCTAATGATTCTCATCATAATGGTTCAACAAAGTAATCAAACGATCAAAGATGGATTGTCTAATATAAAGGAAAAGTTGGGAATAAATGAACAGGTATTAATAAATTAAGAATATATTTCCATTTTTTTCAAATTCTTTTTAGATTGTTCAGAAATAGTTTCACACAAGACCATTAATCCAACTGGATTTTACGGATCAAACTTATTTAACTATTTTCCCCTACAACATAAATTCAAACCCAATTAGATCGATTAGATTTAACAAGAATACTCGTTCGCCATCATATCAAGAGTTTATTTAAAAGAAACAACAAAGTCAAGACATGCATGTAAAATATTTTTCACATTCTCATGCTCTCGTTTTTACTATGTATGTTGTTTTCGGATATGTTTATCGTTTGAAGTTATTGACCAAATTGGTTAAATTTGATGTGCAAGCATTCCAAACACGACCTGGAGCAGGGCGGACGCAGAAAATAATTATATATGACGGACGCAGAAAATAATTATATATGGGACAACATATATAAATATTTAATATAATTAAATTAATTAAAATATATTATGAATATTGAAAATTATAACATAAATTATTATAGTTTTTGTTAATTTTTGAAAATTTATAAAACTAAATAAATAAAAAAATTTGAAAAAAAAACAATAAAGAACATGAAAAATGATTGAATTTGAGCTTATATGAAAAATAATTTAGCTACAATGAAAATTATATCATAAATTATTATAGTTTTTATTAATTTTTAAAAAATTATAAAACTAAATAAATAAATAAAATTAGAAAAGGAAGAACATGGAAAAAGATTCAATTTAGATTTATATAAAAAATATTTTAGCTACAAAACCAACTGAATTATTAAACTGTTAATGTTACATATATATTATTTATAGATTTAGTATAGGGCATATGTCCCATCCACCTATAACATGGATCCGTCAGTAATAACAATTGTTGAAAAAATTAAAGTCTACATTGTATACCTGAGGAACCATTGAGCCTTATCTGTTTGCACAGAACATGCTCATAAATTTATAGTCTATTTATTGGTTTTAAGGTGTAAAAAAGGTGTAAGTTTGGCTCTCTTTGTTTTTCGGCTTGTTTTTGGATATAACTAACGTCTAAGGTATGTAAACACTACGAGTTCAGTCTGTCTTATGTTCCTATGCAATCTTAAGATTAACTTAATTAACAAGTGTCGAAACACATATTTATTGTATAAGTAACAAAGTTACTGTAAAATATTTATTAATATGCAAATTTTAAGTTAAATATGTTCATGGGGTGGTAGTGGGGAAAAATAATTGTGAGCTACGTGCCTACGACTATGGATTTAGCCACGAAAAATCTGTTGCCATTAATTTATAACGACAGGTCAGTAAATAAAGTTAATATTAAAAAAAATGCATAAAAAGTTATCATAAATAAATTTTGTGAGAAGAATTGAACACGGATGCTTAAAAATCAACAAGCATATAATATTTTCGAAGAGATAAGGGGAAATAAATAATCTAATAGCACGAGTTAAAGTATAAAAAAATAAAAAAATGAAAAAATGTAAAAAGGGAGATCTGATGTGGTCCCGACATATACCACATGATGTGGAGATTCTCTTCTTTCTTTTAAATTATGTCGAGTTGTCGACAGAGAGATTCAGTAGATTTCATCAGTTTCGTCATTTAGTCCACAAAATTCCCTAAAGTGGTCATCGTATTCGTGACTGTACTCTGATTATTTTCGGTAGGGATTTTTTAGTTCGACGAGGATGGCCACCAGCATTGATTTAATTTGATGTGAATGAGTTAAACTATGTTATTTCTTTTTGTCGCTGATGAGTCGTAATAGGGGCTTATTAGTTAGTTATCATGGTCTTAAATTTAACAACTTTAAAATTACACAATAATACAATTTTTTTTTTGGGTGTCAACATATACAATAATACAACTTACATACAACAAATAAGATTATTATTTTGCGATTTGTTTATGTATTTTAAAAGACTGCAAGCTCATAAAACATGAAAAAAAATCGTGTTATCAGATAACTCTCCAACAGTTATGAAATCAACAACAACAACAACAGAATGACTACAAATATGATATGTCAGAAACTAGAAAAAATAAATCAGAAAGCAAGTGGAAGCGGTACGTAAAATGACACTGGTCCCAAAAAAAAAATAATGGATCAACAGTGTTTCAGTCGTTTTAGATAGGAATTTAGTAAAAAATACTAATAAGTAAGAAGTAAAATATATATATATATATATATTTATAGGTAACTCACTAAATAGTAAAAATATAATAATTAATGGATATTTTATTAAATAGGCATATTTTAATTTTTTATTCAAAACGTATCACCACTAATTTACAATATAATAATAGCACACATTCAATATTAAAATGATGTTTTATTAGAAAGAATGAACTTAGTTTTGTTTGTAACTTATATAGGTGACAAGTATTTTTCACATAATAATTTGGGCTATTTTTGGAAACGTAAACTTTGTGTTAGCTTTTTTTTTATAAAAAAAATGTGTTATTATAGGAATTTCTCACTATGGTGGTAGTTTAAGAGATAACAACGTTAAAAATGGTAGTTTCGGAAATTTCTCTACAATTTTAGTAGGTTCGTCATTTTATTCCACAATCATATTAATTCTATCTACTCGAAATGAACGTAGCCGTTATTCAATTTTATGTTTTGTTACTGATATTAGCCATTAACAAAAGGCAAAAGAAAAAGAGTTGCCATTAACGTAGTGGAATTTGTTTTTAGTTTTTAAAAATAAAATAACAAACAAGCGTTGATATTAAGCTGCATGTTGACAAAAAGAGACATGCTTTTGTGCAGGCTTTTATGGCTCTTATAAACGAAAGGCAAAAAAACAATTTACTTCTTATAGATGACTTAATTCGTAAATAAGAAAAATTTGGAGTTTAGAAAAGTCGTCTACATCTAATGGCATATGCGAACGAACTTGTTTGACAATATATATAACAAAGATCTTGTTATGATGGACTTAATCGTCTAGGTCTTGTTCTCTGCAGAAAACAATTTAGTGAATGTTTGAGAAGTACTGTACATAATATTGGTCATCTCTAGAGAACAGGGAACTGACATGTGTGCGTGTGATAGATTTTGTAGGGTTCGAATTCCCATAATAGAGCCGAACAAAAGATGTCCCGAGGTCTCACACAACGTCTCAGATAAATAATAGTATATTTAATCATTTATTCAATCACATTCCCACAAAAAGAACCGAATCTACAAAGTACACAGCGGTCTCCGGAATTTAATACTTAATTAAGATCCCCGCATGCATGGGAATATATATATCTAACTTATTAAAGATTGAGATACCAAGTTTCCAACCGGGAAGTCGGAATCGGATATCTCGGACACGACTTAATCATTTTGAGGTCCGGTGAAAACAAACTAGTTTAGACCGGTGGATCAGCGGCGTTTTCCTCCGGGAATAGCCCTGAGAAAGAGACATACATAACAACAAAGAGCCAAACAAGCCAGAGAGGAACTGCAAAGAGAGCGAAGCTTGGCGAAATAAGAGAGATGAGCATGAGAGCTGAGAGAGCCCCAAAGAGATGGCTGACATGTCCAACGAAGTTACGAATTTTCAGTTTTTTCGGAAGCTTGACTTCTAAGACTCGTAGGACGGTGTAGATAAGAGTGAAGACCCAGAAACACAGAATCGTAGCTCCACGGTCTGCTTTGTTGGTTGATGGTTTGTTTGTGACCACCTGAAGCAATCCCATAGCTCCACCATTGATAAAAATGATAAGATTGTGTACAGTGGAGGAGTAAGCAAGGCGCTCCTCCTCCTCCTCCTCCGTGTTCTCATCGTCGGAAATATGTGTAACTTGAACAGAAGACGACATGGCTAGTGGTTGTGGTTTTTTCTCTTTTCTGTTTGTTGTAATGTTTTTTTTTTTTTAAATGGGGCAATCTTAGTATTGGGTTTTTCTTTATGATCTCCTTCGCCTTGTGTCGATCGGGGTATATAAGCCTTTAATGAGTCGGTGTTAAGCATATTCATATACATGTATATTCATATATGTACAATCCAAATCAGGCTTTGTATTGATGTGGGGTATTTCGGGCCACCAGCAGGGGCGGATCTACCTTGTGAGACTACCTTTAATAAATTATTTATAGAAACATATTTCATTTATAGAGTTCATATCATTTGGTTTGCAAAACTTCATTTTTTTCTTTCCACTTCCTTTTAAGTGTCTCTTTTGTATTTTTTTTTCTTTCTAAACACTTAATTTTATCTGTCTATCACCTTTTTATAAGTGTTTGTTATTAATTTTTAAATATTTTATTTTATTTTTTGATTTTTTCTTTTTCTAAGATTATATTTCTTTTATATAAATTAATAGTTTCTTTTTTATATCTTTAAAGTTTTTAATTTTGTTACAAATAAGACCTAAAATTCCATAACTAATATAAATTTTTTCTATGATAATAATATATTTTAATTAATAAAATTATATTTAAATTTATATTTTATATTATGCCCCATATAGAATTTTTCTGGATCCACCCTTGGCCACCAGAATACCACTGCAGTTAAATTATACATAATCAATAATTGAAATCTCCTGACAAAACTATATTTATCATTTATACGAAGTGAATTAAAAAAAATTGTATTACATTTGCATATATACAAAAAAAAGTTATTACAGAGATAAAAAAAAAAAATCAATTTAGTTACAGACATATATCTTCAGATTTATGATCGTCACTAATTCTCCACGCATCTTCCGATTTCATAAGTTTGTGCAAAACTCAATAATTTTTGCTGTTTATGTATTTTAACATTCAAAATTTGACTATCTTAAAATATGCTATTGTTGTTATATTTTCGTGATAGATCCTTTTTTTTTTCTTACGTATATATTTCCAAAATTTCTTTTTTTTTTTTCTTTTTGTCATAGTAAATGGAGACTAATATCGAAGAGTTAAATTCCATACGTCTTCCCGTCGGACCTTGTCGAGGCCTCTCTCAATTGGAAATCAAACTAGGAGAAACACACCGCAACGCCACGAAGCCAAAATTTTATTTTCTACGAAGTCCACTTGCTCACTTTAATAAATGTTATTAGTGTAATTTTTTATCAATTCATTTGTGTAAAGAAAACATCCATATACAAAATGTGAAAATGATATTCAGTTAAACATATTCTAGTTGGCACATGGGTTTGTTTTTTGTATGTCTCTCTAAAACTCCGCCGAAAGAGTTTATACAAGGAATTGTCAAGCCAATAAAAAACAGGGAGTATGTCATCCTGCACTTTAGCAAAGGTGTTTCTTATTATTGGAAATAGATTTTTTTTTTTTTTTTTTTGTAATAATTGGAAATGGATGATTTTACGTTTCTGAATTTCTCTAAAATATTTTGAAAGAATTATCGTTTAAGTTTTTGGATCAGAGAGAGCAATGTACATACAATATGCAATCACACGTTATATATATATAGAAAATATATATTAAATTTTCAAAATACAGTATCAATTGAACCTAAGTAATTGCACATAAATTCTAATACATATCAATCTACTTAGTTCATTGGCCTTTAACTAGTTTGAAAAACATAGTATTATAATCGCATTTTTTTCTGAACAAAGTTATAATCGCGTTTGTTGATCCAAATATGATGGCTGACTGTAATTAAACCAATAAAAGTCATGTTTTCGAATAACCGTATTAACAACTGTACATTATTTTAGATTAACATATAAAGAAACACATGTATTGTCATATTGATTTCGAAATTAAAACCCATAACTCATCACATCATTCATAGACACATTTCTATAGTGAAGGTGAGAAAGCCATATTTTTAGTTTGGTGCAACTGAGAAATATATATTGTGCGTGCCTACATTCCTCCTTTCTATTCTAAAAAAAAAATGATAGAAACAAAACCATTAATTATAAATAACTATTTTTATGAACTGATTGAAAAGCACGTCAAGAATATTTTTTTGACTATCGCCTCACGTGATGACTGAGGACCACTGGGATTGAGTTAATTAGAAACCTCTCAAATAGGTAGAAATGGTGGCTTAGAAATCATTATTGTAGTCGGAAGATAATCCCTCGCTGCCATGTCGTTGCATCATCTACATTTCTCAGAATCCACGAAGCCATGAATATACATATAACTTATAAGTATATGCAAGTCTAAGTAAAGAATACGAAATGTGAGTGTAAAGGTTGTTGTAAAATGTTTTTATATAGAAAGTGATAGATAACTAAACATGTGAGAAAGAAAAAATTTCAGTTACTTTTCTTAACATGAATGGTGTGAGTTAAGGTTATTCTTAGATACTAGAATGGGTGTATATTGCGTGTTATAATTAAATTACCAGAGGTAATTATTACAGGTCTGCCCGGGCACTAAAACAATAATTAATAACTACGTGGTATATTCCTTTTGTAGCTAATTTTCTCCTAAAAGTTTAGCTACAAGTATATGAACTCAGTTCAAACAATAAAACTGTATAGTAATTAATAAATTATTTATGGAGTAATTTTTAGTAAATGCACTTTAAAGAGTTTCGATTACGTAAAGGGTATTTATGACTCACTTGAAAAAAAGGATGCCTTCTTCCTTTTCTCTCTTTGGACAAAAACATGCCTTCCGCGAAACTTCCAAACTTTCAAATACTTAATGTAGTGGAGATCATCAAACAGTTGATGACATTTTTTAGAATTTGTTTACTTAAATTTGATAATATGCCAAAATTAAATTTTCATCCTCGTATGTATATTTTTGTGAGTGATGGCTGTGTTCTTTTTTCTTTAACTCCATTGGGTAAGTTCTATAAATCCATTCGGTAAGCTGAGAGAAAAAAGTAAGAGCAAATTCGTATAAAAGGTCTTCTATGATAGAAGAATCTGTCTGACGTTAAAGTTCTATGATAGAAGAATCTTTCCATATATGACGTAAACTTGCAATCCCTAACCGAATAATGCACATTAAACGTCTATATTTTTAACATTTAGTATGTATAATTTTGTAAGATTATAATGCTAAAAATCTAAGTTTTGTATTGTAATGGTCAGGTGTAATACTAATCCAATATGATTATTGAGTATTATATTGATAGTATGTAAATTTTCAAAGTTAGTATTTTGTGACGCGTGTGCTGGACAATAATTCAAAACTATTGAGTGTTCTAATTATAAGTGCAGTCCTATACAATTTAAAATAAGAATGTTGTACACTGATATTTGTGTTTCAAAGTTGGATAGAGCTCAATATGTCACAGAAGTTGCATATGTATCCACTTTTGAACATTACGAAGCTCTCTTCTGATTTACACGTTAATTATCATGTCATGATCACCACTATAAACCAATGACTTATTCATGCTATATTGTTTAGATGGTACGGTACATTACAAGTTTTTTAGTTTTCTCAAACGAAAGTATAATGAAAAATACGACCACGCCAGGGGCTACCTTTATGTATGATTTTCATGTATTAAAATGGTTTTGAAACGCTCTGTTTTCTTGAGATATTTTTAATTGTGAAAACTTCTGCAGCTGTTAGATGAAATTATTGAATTCTGCAGCTGCTTCTGATTTATGTGCAGGATGCTATCTAACAACAAACCGGAGATGAACGATCTTGAACATGTTTCCAAAGACGAGTAGAAATTACCAAGGAGGAGATTATGTAAGTTTGGATTCAGGCTAGATCGACATTCATTCAAAATGAGAGCTATCACGATAAGTGCATAAAATAAACAACACACAAATTTGTTAACGGGTTCGGTTTTATATACATCCCCAGGATCTCGTCCAGAACAATTCCATTAGAACATGATAACAATTACATGATTGTATGAAATATTTTTTACATGAAATCATATTATGAATCCACACACATCCAGTTTTTCTGCGGATTGCTCAATTCATAGGAACACCACCAACAGAACTTATAGATCCACATCTTGTCTATCTGGTGGGGGTGACGCCACACTCACGTGTATCTCTGTGAATGATACCCTAGGCGCGCACAGTCTTTATAAGACAGTCTCGGTATATATACTGATCGCTTAACCCTAGAACCTAGAATCTCCGACGATTACGGATAGATACAACTTGCTCCTTAAGTTTATCTATTTACCAAATTTGTTGCAACGAATATAACATATCCTAGCAACTTGGTCCAGCTCAGCAAGCCACTTGCCATGTCATCTTTTGATCGACGTTAAGTCTTTGCCTTCTGATATAAGGTCTGATATGTCCTCTGATGTACCGTCTAATACATCATCTGATACACCGTATGCATCATCCCTTAACACATTGTCTGATATATTCTCTGAAGTATCCAATTGTCTTCTTCTGATCGCCACAAAATCTTTCTGATCTGTGTCGATAACTGTATCAATGCTCACATCAAGTACTTCCTCAGCATACATGTTAGTTCTGCCACAATGTCTTTGTCTGAACTGCCATGCCTTGGACTGGACTCTGTCTCTGTAGCACATGTCAAACTGCCTACTGTTTTAGAGTCTGATTCAGTGCTATCTTTGAGTCTCTGCATACATGTCACAACAGCTGTAACAAGTCTTGTTTAAGCAAGTTCTCAAACCAGTCAGCAATACATCAACAGATTATTAGAGAAAAAGTGGACGACTTTTCTTACAGAATTAGTAGGCGAAGAAGAAGAAGCAGAACCGGTGTCACAAATTCTTCAAGTAAACCAGGAAGACATTAGGTAATGTTTTGCCTTTCTTCTCCCATAGTTTCATTTATGGCTTCTTTAAATACAATGAAAATTTAGGGTTCTAATGTTTTTTCTGTTTCTTTATTACTTATGCAGAGACAACGATCTTGATGATGATGTTGTTCGGAAAACAACTTCTCTCATGTTGAGGAACTTATGCAACAAGCAATGGAAAACGTGGCGAGAGATCTCACCTTCAAAATGCAGATTAGTGAGTGGGAAGAGAAGAGAAAACAGTAAAAGGAGAAGAGTAAAAAGAAAAAGGAGGATGATATGAAGAGGAAGGAGGAGGAGAAGAAGAGAAAGAAGAAGAAATGATGATAATATCCTGCTTGATATTGTTTACATTTACACTGTTGATTTTGATTTTTGTTTCAATGTAACAATACCCTCTATTCACCATATTTATCTTTATTACTCTGTTTTTAATGTTGTGGATTCGTTGGGGCTCACTGGTCACTATCACAGAGGTTGACCACGTATCCACCTTTGAAACATCATGAAGCTCTCATCTGGTTTATACTCTGCAGTGTGCCCTCCTCCCTGCAAAAGTTAAACCAATTACAAAAACTCTTTTTCAATTATAAAATGTAACGAGGAAAAAAAAGTTTGATTAGAAACCAAAAAAAAAAAAGGAGACTTGCTTTGATAGTGGCAAATGTCATGCTGTTTGAGTAAGTCCTTGTGTATCCAATAACTTGATTGTTAGCAAGCCATGGCCTCCATTGATCGATGATTGAATAGTTTAGAGATCTAATCCAAGCCACGGTTCCAATAAAAGGCACCATCATGTCATGATCACCACTATACACCAATGACCTATAAAGCCCTTTCATACTATTGTTTAGATGGTACGGTAGGCTGCTCTTTATGTCTTTCTCATAAGCCATATCCCAATCGCATCTCACCCATTTCCCTATAGTTCCCTGCATATTTCACATTCATTCATTAATTAAAAATTGCTTTCTTGATATTAGATGTTGACATGAATGTATGCATGTATGTAAAATGACTTACGTTCACCACATGAAGTGCTTTGCGTACTTCATCATCATTGGCCCAATGCGTAGCTAGCACATACCGATACATCTGCATAGTTCATCTCTATGGTATTCTAACTACATGATTTTCAATATATAAATAAAACAAAGATCAATGGGTTTTGTTTTTCTTTTCTTGGCTTACATAGCAATCAGGAGTTGGAAGAGAAAGATCTGAGTGAACAAGTCTTTTGAGACTTCTTCTTCTTCCATCATTAATCTCCATCGAAAATGGATTCGGTGATGCCAAATCGCACAATGGTATCAAAATAAATCCTTCATCAATCCTTGATACACACTGCCATCAATGCAACATAATCAGCACCAAAAATGTCCCAAACTAGCCTTTTGCTATCACTTTTGTAAAGCTGTACGTGTTGACCTTATTGTAGTCATCCACCAAATTCAAGCATTGTGTATTTGTAGGGTCCACTTTTGCATAATTTCCTTCGCAGATTCTCTTAAGCGACTGCAAAAGAAAAAGAATTTCAAGAAAGTACTTCATTAAGTATAGGGATATTTAAAACTAATAGACCATTTGACAATTTATTATGAAAAGATGATTTTTCATTGGAAAAAATTATAAGAAGGATTAACTAGTACTATTAGTCTCTAAGGGTTAGCGAAAAAACTTTAACCAAAAAAACCAAACCATATCGAACTATAAAAGTGATATGGTTTGGTTATGATTAAATCGAAAAATTCATTTGGTTATTTTTTTTTATAATATTGGTTTAAGTTTGGTTTGATTAAAAACTGTCAAACCGAAAGGTTTTTTCAGTTTAACAATTAAATTTTAAATAATTTATATTTTTCTATTTTCTAAATTTAGTTTAGGTCCATGTTTTAGTATTATGCTTAATTATATTTATAATTTACTAACTTAACTCATAAATTTAAAATATAGTATTTATAAAAAATATTTAAATATAAATAATAAAAAGTTGTAAACCCTAATTTTCAGTCAAAACAAAATAATGTTTGTGGTTAACTCCTCTTTTTCTCATTCAAGTCTTCTAGTCTAATTTTGTAAGTATTTTATTTTAATTTATCTCTATATATTGATTTCTAGTTATTAATTTTGAAAAGTTTGATATTTTGTTTGTTTCTCTGTTTTGAAATTGGTTCTTATTTTATGATTGATATTCAAATTTGATTCCTTTGTGGTCTTTAAATACATTATAAGTTTATAATTATATTTAGATCTTGTGTAAATATGAATTATTCTTAATATTTATATATTATAACAATAATGGCTGATAAGAATCTGGTTTTTATTTATTTAGTTTTTAGTTTTTATAAATTTAGTTTTTATTAATGGATTTCTTATAATTTGGATTCTACTTTTTTTAGTTTTTTATTTTATTTCACTCATATCTATTATTACTATTTCTATTAGTTTAAATCAATTTTTTGTAATAATATAATTCCAAAAAACTAAAACCGAACCAAGTTACATATGGATTTTGCATGGTAATTTTTTTTAAAACTGGAAAACCAAAAACCGAAGAAAAGTAAACCATACCAAGCCAAAATATATATGGTTTTGATATGATTTGAATAAAACTGATAAACTGTTAAACCAAAAAAATCAAACCAAAACCAAACTGAAAATCGATGTGCTCACCTCTAAGTCTATCATTAGTCTGCTAATAATTTGTATTTGATTTGCTATTTGTCTATATTGAATCTAATTTTAATTGTATAAGCATTTAATCGGTTAGTAGTCTATATTTTATCTTTTATTAGTTTGCATAAAAAAATAACTAGAAGGATAATTTGATATTTATAAAATATTTCTTAAAAAATTATTTTTACAGTTTTTAAAAAAAAATATATATGTTTTGCATTATTTTCTTATTATATATCATTTTGGATAATTTATTCCTAAAAAAAATATACTTACATTGTGGAGAAGAGATCATATAAGACTTTATTACATACCTCGTAGAGTTCATCAGATATGAGTCCCATTCCATGAGCATATGGAATCTTGGAGTTATGATCTTGATCAAGATCTGTTGACGGATTCCCAAGAACATAACCCTGTTGGTATACATGATGCTTTCAAAACACGTTTATATATCTATATATAAAGTTATGATGAACATATGAGTGATGATACTGATGAACCTTAAGATTCATTGGTTTGTGTCCATGTTCATTTCCTGCGTAACCATAATGTGTAAGACTGTAATTACTGGCTAAGTAAAACAAAATCCAAGGAAGACCATACGATGGATAATGGCAATTTTTTTTAAAAAAAATGCAAACCTATTGAGATCTGTTGAACAATGGCTGGAACAACTATACCGGAATAAGAATCTCCACCGACATAAAGAGGATTTGAGTCAAACTCTGGATGCTCCACTAACCACTGAAACAAACACAATTGAAAAGATTGTGATACATTTATATTCAAGAAACACATATTGTCATGTTGATGCAATGTTGCAACCTTTTGAAGAAATTCATAAGTCTGTTTTGCTTCTCCTGTGTCACTAGGCTTATAAGTAAGAGGATCTGTTGAGTAAGAGAAGCCAGTCCCAACAGGTTGATCCAAGAATATGATGTTAGCTACCTGAGAAACCATCAAATCAACAATATTTAAACTGAAAAAAGAGAAGCACAAGAGCTAGTTTTGTGATGTGACGTCAATGTTTGATGGAGTCACCTTTGTCCAAGAATATGAAGTTGAGACAAGAGAAGGTAAACTTCCATTGTAAACCTCAGTCTTGAAAGTCAACGGCCCTGCACTAAACCAAGAGGGCTAGAACAAGATCGAGTAAATCAATTAAAGATCAAATCTTTTACGTTTCTTCTTCTTCTTGAAATTACCAATCTCAAAAGCAAGAGCAGAGAGAGCAGTGCAAGCAGGTCCTCCAGTTAACCAAATCATAAGAGGATCTTCTTCAGGATTTTTCTCTGATTTGATGAAGTAGTAGAAAAGTTTCACTTTCTCTTCCTCGCCAACACCAATATAGCTTTTCATAAGAAAGATGCAAAAGATATATTTTAACTCAGTTCGGTTGTGTTATTAATAGCAGATATTGAGAAAACGGAGGAAGCTAGGAATGAAGAAAACAAACCCAGTTTCAAGGTGAAAAGGAAGAGGACCTTCGAAACCAGGAAGATAGCTAACCACAGAGGCTGAATTAACACCATGTTGAGTCAAGAGGAGGAGTTGAAGCAGAAGAAGCAACTTCACTTTCCATGCTTTAGACATTCTTGATTAACTCTTCTTTTAAGTTCTTGATTTCATTTTAGGAAACAAATTAACGGACTAAATAAGGATGGTTTCCTACAGACAATATAATCGAACCAAACCAAACCGATCAAATCCAATTACAATTTTCCGGTTTGGTCTCGATTAAACTGATATGCTAATTTGGTTCAGCTAATTACACATATAAAAAGGTTGATTAAACCGTTCGGTATCAATCTTAAAACCTAGTCCCAGTAGCTCTCTTTGCGCTGCACCGGTTCTAAGCTCGTTGGTTCATGTTTGGTAAAACCAGAAACTTATTCTCTCTCCTCTTTCGAGTTGACTATTTTTGTGCGTGTCAGTCTGTCAGATCTACGAAGAGTTTACTTACGCCAAGTCGCCAACAATATATTACTACCTCCATTTTTTAATATAAGATATTTATTTTTTTTAAAAAATAATATATATGATGTTTTCAAAAATCAATGCAAAATTTATTAATAAAAATTTATTTTATACTTAAATTAATTAATAAATAAATAATAATAATAATAATAATAATAAATTACAATAAATATTTTACAAATTTTTTTAATTTAATTTATGTGTAAATTTCTAAAATATCCTAATAAACAAAAATGGTGAAAAGTATAAGTTGTGATTGTAAAGCAATAAAGTTATACTTGAAACCTTATCTTAATACCTGATTAAACACCAACCGATCAAGATTGAGGGTTCTTCTTACCTCTCCTTGCGCTGCAAGCCTGCACCGGTTCTAATTAAGCTCGTTGGTTTGTTTTCCTACTTTTGCTGTATAGCATACATGTTTTTTCGTTTTCTTTTTCTGGTTTTACTTTCTCTCTCATTATATATATATATATATATATATTTAATAATTCAGAATACATCTCAAGAAGGATCCAGATTAATTCTTTAGCAGAAATGTAGTATATGGATAAACTCTTTCTTCGGATATTGGCTAAATAGAAAATATTTAGCAATTTCATATTTGAAGAAAATGGATCCAGATCACCACCACTTAGTTATTATATATACTCAATCTGCAGAAACCAATACTCTTTCAATATGATTGTTTTTTGGTAAGGTTTCAGTCTTTCAGATCCACAAGACTTCATTACGCTACAATATATTATTTAATACTCCTACTTCAACTTGTTAAAATAACAGTAGAAAATAAGAAACTCTTAGCAACAAAAGTTATAATATAGTCCACGATATTCGTCTTTAACAAAAGTTGGACCAGTCGATCACCCCATCAATTACTAGCCAGCCTCATTTGATACTAAATAAAATTTCGATCACCCCATCAATTACTAGCCAGCCTCATGTGATACTAAATGAACTTTACGTCGAGAGATAATTATCCTGAGTCCAATAAATTTTGAACATCTTGAATAGTTGAATTTGAGCTCTATAAGAACAAAAATCGTTATTTGCCATCTCGTGAGTCAAATTTTGTAGCGGTTCAGTGTTTAAAAAAATTATTAAACAATATTCAAAAACTAAAGCGGTTCAGTCTTTAAAAAAATCATTAAACAATATTCAAAAACTATACTGTTTTGAATTAAACTAGACTATGATTTAAGGATTACGCTGATAAGGTCATATATCAGTTAACTATACTTTCTTGTATCGTACAAAAGTGAACGTCGTACAAAAAAAATATTTTGCGTCTTACATGTAATTAACTCTAGAAGTTAGATGAATCGCATCACTATCAAATCGCATTGCCATTCGCTGTTAAGCCATGATTAGGGTAATCCTACTGTTCTGAATTCTACAATACAGCGGGGTCTGACTCTTTTTTAACTTCTTGATTTCTTTTTAGGAGTCTCTCTCTCTCTCTCTCTTCAACAAATCTGAGCTTTAAAACATTAAGAACCCTTAAAAGTTCTCAAACTTTCATCAGAATGAATCAGAGTTTTTTAGGATACGAAGACACGGCACACTACAAAAAAACATGTCTTTTCTCACCAATTTTTCTCTCACAATTTCGGTAAAAAATATTATCTATTAATTTTTCACCAATTTTGACAAATTTAAAAATTTCGTAGGAAATTAGTCACAAATTTCCCATTATAAAATTTGATCAGAAATCGATAAGAAAATTTTAAACTATTAAAACATCGTTTTAACATGTAGATATTTACATTCTTTGACTTAACAGCCCATTATCCACAACAATATCCGTTAATTGTCGGCATCATCGAAACAGATGAATGCTACTTTATGCATTTCTAAAACAGACGACTGTTGTTGGTTCATTAGCTGTAGGAATCCTAGAATTCCGGAGTTGACCATGACGACGACTTTGTGGACTGCGGAGGAGTATGTGGTGAACTTCGCCACTTCATCGTCGGAGATTGGAAGTGTTTGGTTATTGGTGGAGACAGCCTCCGTAGTTTCCTTACTCTATGTGTTTGTTTGTTTTGTTTTATTGATTTTTTTTCTTTTTATCAAGATTCAAAACATCGATCAATGCCAATATATAAGTGGGGCGGGTCCTGGCCTTTTTATGTTAACTACCATAGGCTCTTACAGTTAGAACAAACAATTATTTTTTGTAGGATTAAGAGGTCCACATATAAACGACGTTCATATGGAACGGAAATGAGTAAATGTGCATGTGTTTCTTTGATTATTCTTGCTCCTCTTTTCTACACGAAAGAGAGTACATGTACATGTGTTCCTTAAAGAAAGATACTTTTTTTGAAAAGAGGTACATATACATGAAACATGTATCTTGATGGATAAGATCTTAAAAAGGCAAATATATAAAATAGATACAGTACATATCTAAATAAATTCATCTAGGAAGTTAATTATGTCTCATTTCATTTAAACTCCATATTATGTGTTTGGACGGGATTTCGCATCCTCTAAAAACTGTTAGATTTGTCATTTGTTTTCCGAATGTAATAATTGGGTTTGACTGGTATGTCAACTTAATAGTAGAATAGCTAATGATAAACTAGCAGAATCAATAAAATATATAAACTGAAAACTGAATAAATTTAAAATGCTAAAAAAAATTACTATCCATTAGATGAATGGATCCTTTATTAAACTAGTTATAAATTTTAAAATGTGCGAAATGTTTAAAAAATAGTATATTAATTTTTGATTTTTATCATTCAATGTTTAATATCGTAAATGGTATGTATTTAGTGAAATCACATTTTCAAAATGTAAAAAAGAAAAAGCTATACATACCATTAATAAAGGATCCATTCATCTGATATAAATCAGTCAACGAATAATAACTACTATACTAATCTACTACACAGTCTATATATATACTAAAAAGTCTAAAGAATGAGATTACCCGTCAAAGTGAAATTTTATACGTACTTTCTTCGGAAAGATGGCTAAAAGGCCAGATGTCGACTCGCCCCCATAGAACTTAAGTATCCTTCTCTGGCCCCTCCCCCACCACAAGCAACACTCTTCTTTTCTACACGAAAGGAGAGTACATACATGTACTTGTGTTTCTTGATGATGTTAAAAAAACAAAAAGAGAGAGGATACATGTACATGTACCTTTAATATATAAAGATATATGTAGCAAAAAATTAAAATTAAAATCTGTATAACTTTATATCAAAGGATCTTATATAATGTATATATCAAATTAAAACCCTATAAATAAAAAGGATGAAACCCTCGGAAGCTAATTATTTCTAATTTTAGTTAACTAATTACAAGATATATATATATAAAATTATATATACAGTATGTACCTAAATTATATGTACATGTACTTTGATGTACACGAGATATACTTTTTAGCTACACTATGTACAAGAAAAAATTACGTATTATGATTTTCTAATTAAATCACGTACGTACGTGGAGCTAACCAAATAGGTAGTTGAATACGACTTGAAAGAAAGACAAATTGGGAAGACCATCTTTTGCTATACTGATCAATAAAACATCGCTTAACATGAGAAACGTTGCATTTTCGAAACTTTGTCGCTCATAATTTGATATATTTGACACCATACTAAAAACCAATAAACTTTAGAAACTAATATAAATCAATTTAAATTTTACATGATGTTTTTACATTAAATAAAACTCTAACAAAAGTTGTTGAATCACAAGAAAATTATTTAAAATACACACAATTGTATTACTAAATTATGTGTCTAAACATTATCGGAACCCTTAGAAAAGGTTTCTAATTATTCCAAAATAAGGAAAATAGCCTAGTAACTAACAAAATAGTCTAGATTTAAACCCCAATTAAATCCTGAAAACAAAATCTCTGAACACCAAACAAATAAATATAAATTATATAATATCTAAATTATAAACCCTAAAACTATTTACTACTTAGAACTCTAACTCAACCTTATAACCCAAACTCGCATGCCCACTCCTCCTCCAAGAAGTTTGGTCCGTAGACACACCCGCATCTAGGCCTGGGCAAAAAAACTGGACTCAGAAACCTGAACCAGAACTGACCGAAATAACATGTTTAGATCGGATTCGGTTATAGACTATTTACCCAAAATATATTAAGTTTAGGAACTATGGGTATCGGATCGGTTAACCGAAATAAAAATACTTATACACTTAGAATTTTACAGAGCGATTTCCCAACAAATCGTATGGATCCAGAGGTCGATATACATATGGTTTCGTAGGCCTCACAGTCAGCTATTCAGATCTTCTTTCTATTATCGATTTTAAAATATATTCAATCCGAAAATCAGTTTGCAAGTTGAAAAAAAAATCAGTATTTCCAAAAAATTTTAGTTTTTATTCGGGTATTTGGTTACATTTCGGGTATATGGTTACATTTTCAACGATTTCGAGTCTGGTGAGATAAAAAAATCCGAACCGAACAGAAATAAAAAAAACCACCTTTTTAGATTTTAAACAGTTCTGAGATTTAAGAACCGAACTGATCCAGAACCGATAATAACTGAACCAAACCCAAATCAAAAAATTTTCGATACCTAGATATAAAGTTCCCTTACCCAAAAAAAACCAAAACGGAT